ATTTCTGAATAAAGGATTATATCTGCTGCAAGCTTGCTGTTAACGGTGCAACTCTTTGGCTCTGGCAGGTTCAGATCTTGGAAAGATATAAAAGCAAATCTGGCATAGAAAATACATAAAAAACTGCCTTGCTGCTTTTCTTTCTTGTTCAATAAAAACCACATAAAATCGTAGTTTATCTACATATTTTTTTAACCCCATATGCAAAGAGTGTTTTGTCATATATATGTAACTTATATTTATGGCTACTATCCCTAGAAGAACCTGTTGGAGTGTTTATTCTAATTTGAGGACTAAAAGGTGACAGAAGGGGGGTGCGTGTGCCTGTGCCCTGTGAGGCGTGAAATTAACATTTGACACAATAAATTTTATGGATTTTTAAGAACGAAACTTACACTTCGAATTTGTGTGTTAAATTTATTACTGTCACGGCTGAATGCCGAACGAACGACAGAACTATTGGGAGGGACGACTGACCAGTCGCTCCCCTGACCCCTTGCCTGCCCTCAACTGCTATAGCCCCAATTCATACTTGCCTTTCCTTTTGGCATGTCGTTATTTATGGGTCGCTGGGCTAACCGCAATGTTTTGGCTTCGGCGGTCATTTTATTGCGGCCCAGCCCGACACATGCCCGTCTGGTCTGTCACTCCATAACGGCCATTATATGTCTGCATGGACACAGCACTGGACATGCAAATACATATATATATATAATATATACTCGTATTATATATTTTTTAATAGTTTTTCATGCGCCATCATCAGTCGTTTTGCAGCCACGCTCTTACGGCAATTTATGCAAATGCAGAGCCAACAAAATTGTATTCAGCAGCGTTAATAAACTGTTCAAACGGACTTCGCTTCCTTTTTCTGGATACGCCACAAATTAAAGGAGCAGCACGGAATTATCCAGGAGTGCTGGTGCCGCTGCTGCTGCTGCTGCTGCATACGCACTCCGTAAATCCTGCAGCAGATTCTGCCCAGATATTTGGCTATAAAATGTTGAACGCATATGCCCGAGCATAACTCATTAGTATTAACTGTATGTGTGTACGTGTACACACTGTACAGGTGTGTGTGTGTGTGTGTGTGTGTGTGTGTGTATCGTCCACCTTATCACTCTAGGGCTGTGCCTGGCTGGGGACCATTAAATAATTGCCACAATTTATGTGTACACACATTTCGCATACAGCCCCAAAACTGAGACTCGAACTGAAGTTTGTCGCATGCCACACCACACCACACCCCATAACCCCATCCCATAACCCCTGCCCCTCTCCCCACCCACAGAGCAATGCATCTTGCCCGAGCAAATATAGAGGGCAAAGCAAAGATTATACATAATTTTCAATTTGCAGCACACACACACAGGGGGGTGGAGTGATTGTAGATGTTTGTGCAACATGCAACTGCATTTATGCAACAACTCGGTACGTGAGTGCCGCTCCAGGCCCGACACAGGCTCACAGAATACTATAGGGCTCTCTAATGCTGTGGCAGTGCATTCGAATTGCAGCCGCCTATTGGTTGGGAATGCATTTTTCATGTCGCATGTCCAAAAGCAAATTGCTCGAAATTCCGAATTTGGATTTCGGCCCCAAAGAAAATAGCAATCAGATGGCCGGAGTGGCTCATCTTTGACAACATCCAACCGAGTACATGGCCTAAAGGCACTTGTCAAAGCCATTTGCCAGAGACTCATCATTCATTTGCGCTCACACCTGTCGACCCCGGATTGAGATTTGAGCCCAAGACTCGAGCGAAATCTTTGCCACAAACGAAGAGCACCAAAGACACGCATTTTATCCTCATTTGTCAATCAAAAGAAAAAACATTAAAAAGCGTTTGCTAATTAACATAATTTATTTGCCTTCTTTTATTGCATGTTTTGCCTAACCAACAACAATCAATCAGGTATCCGATACTGTGGTGGAGCCCTACAATGCAACGCTCTCCATCCATCAGCTGGTGGAGAACACAGACGAGACCTTCTGCATTGACAACGAGGCGCTCTATGACATCTGCTTCCGCACGCTGAAGCTCACGTCGCCCACCTACGGGGATCTGAATCATTTGGTTTCTGTAAGTGCAATTCGTTGAACAAACCATTCTAATGCGTGTGTTTTTGTTTGTTCAATCCACCCCCACACCCAAACCCCAAACCCAAACCCCTTCGAATGAATGGTGACACATCCAGGTGTCTGAGGTGGTGGTCGAGCCGTACAATGCCACATTGTCGGCGCATCAACTGTGCGTGGACACAGACGAGACATTTTGCATTGACAATGAGGCCTTGTATGACATTTGCTACCAAAGCCTGCGTCTATGCTCGCCCACCTACGAGGATTTGAATCACTTGGTGTCCGTAAGTAGCAGTCCCAAAATGGAGTTACGGAGCCACGAATCGGAAGCACCAGGATCCACGCCATGGACTACAACGTCACAACAACAAATGAAATGATTTTCTAACTGAGATTTTTTATTTCTTTCAACCCCCCCCCCACCAACCCCCACGATCAGGTCACAATGTCTGGCGTTACCACCTGCCTGCGTTTCCCTGGCCAGCTGAACGCTGATCTGCGCAAGCTGGCGGTGAATATGGTACCATTCCCACGTCTGCACTTCTTCATGCCCGGCTTCGCCCCACTGACCGCCAAGGGATCGCAGCAGTATCGCGCCCTCACCGTTGCCGAGCTGACGCAGCAGATGTTCGATGCCAAGAACATGATGACGGCCTGTGATCCCCGACATGGACGCTACCTGACGTGTGCATGCATCTTCCGTGGTAAGTGCCCCACCACCACCACCACCACCATTAAAGCCCCAACTGTTGACGCAACTTCTCCGCGCCCCCAACAGGGGGCGTAGGAATCTACAAAAAGAAAAATAGTTTTTTAACAACAAACCCGAAACACCTTCATGCAAACGCACAGATCCATCCATCTAAACGGGCCACCCCCATGGCCATGGCCATGGCCATGGCGGCTTATCCGTGAAACTTTGTCACTTTGTCAGGGCCAACTGGTGGGCGCACCTGTCCCATGCCCAGGCCATAGGCTGCCGCAGGGCACGTAGGAACAAGAGGCAAAGGAAAAGGCAAAGGCACAACCCGGGCGCAACAGCGACAATTTTATTAGCAAACAGAATGCCTACTTATGGGCGCCACTAAAAATGATTAATGCAACCCGGCCCTGGCGGCTAAAAAGGCTGCAATCCGTCAACGCGCACGTAGCGCAAATTTGTTAGCCTTCCGCGTCCCACCAACAACCACCCCACCACCCACGCATTTTGCATGCATCAGACGGGGAGGGGGAGGGGGTGGGGGTGGGGGTGAGTGTGGTAAGGGTGGCATTTTTTTTGTGTTGTTTCGCGCTAATTTTTAAATTAATAAACTGCTGTGCGGCGCCCAAAAGTATGCCGCATAATATTTCATTTGCTATTCCTTGTGTTCCTCTCGTCCTGGTCTTTAGCTTTAGCTTTGGCTTTGGGATTGGGCTCTGGCTTTGGCTTTGGCTTCTGCCAGTGCCTTTCCTTTTGACTGATGACTCGCAAAACGCGCGTAATTAGAAATTTACTTTCAAGATCCATTGGGGAATTACAACGACCACCGAACACACCCGTCCCCTGACACGGGCCCCAAGCCTAACTAATCATGCTTGAACGTGACTTTGAGGCCTGCACTGGGCGCCTCCCTCTCGCACGATTCTCTGCGTCCACTCAGGCTTCGTCTCCGTCTTCGACTCCGACTGACTGCCAGAAATACTTGCAAAATAATTAATCACAAAAATGTGTTCTTCGGAGAGAAGCAAACAGCGGAAGCAGCAGCAGCAGCAAAAACAAAAATGCCAGCGATGGAATTTAAACAACTTTTTTAGTTACCTCCTGGGACTGTTTGTGTCAAGGTGCCCCCCCGTTACCGTTACCGATCCCTGTCTCTGTCTCTGTCCCTTTTGCGCCTAAAGAGCCGACTCCAACTCCAGCTCCGACCAGGTGGCAAAGTGCGCTGTTAGGACTTAGAATCCGTTTAGTATTTCATATTCAGGGATTTGGGGATTTGGCGCTTTGGCGCTCATCAAAGCAAAACTTGGCTTTTGATGTAAATGCGGGGAGGGTTGGGGAGGGAAGGGAAACACTGCCACTGCCATTGTTTTGGGGAAATTGCGGATGGATTTTGTTTAACCCTCCGATTACAATTACAACATTTTTTTTGTTCACGCTCTACCGCTCAATAATTAACAGGTCCCATGTCCATGAAGGAGGTGGACACGCAAATGCTCAATGTGCAGAGCAAGAACAGCAGCTACTTTGTCGAATGGATACCCAACAATGTGAAGGTGGCCGTCTGCGATATACCACCACGCGGCCTCAAGATGTCCGCCACATTCATTGGCAACTCGACGGCCATTCAGGAGATCTTCAAGCGCATCTCTGAGCAATTCACCGCCATGTTCCGTCGCAAGGCCTTCTTGCATTGGTACACGGGCGAGGGCATGGACGAGATGGAGTTCACTGAGGCGGAGAGCAACATGAACGATCTGATATCCGAGTATCAGCAGTACCAGGTGCGTTTCCATCAATATTACACAACATTCCGCGCCCGTACTTATTCGATTTCATTTCCATTTCAGGAAGCAACAGCCGATGATGAGGTTGAGTTCGATGAGGAGCAGGGCGAGCATGAGGGCTACGAGTCGGAGGTCCTGCAAAACGGCAATGGCGAGTAAGGGACGGACTACTAGCAACCATCATAACTGTTTTTCTGTATACTATTATGTAAATTATTTGACAAGTCCGCACCAGACAAAGGCTTCAAATAAATACCTAGTAAATATATAGTACATTTTATTTACTGGCTGGCTTCACACTGCATTTACTTGGCAGTCGTTGCCATGAGAAATTTCCTTGCAGGATTCGTATGCACAATGCATAAAACGAGGCAGGCTTCAAGTATATGCTAGGCAAAAGAATTAGCCAGTTTTCGAACTTTATTGTCAATATTCCTCAATCACAAATCAAGGGAGGAGAAATAGTGGAATGGAAATCAACATTAAGTCTGGCCGATATTTTTATTATTAATTTAATTATGGCTGAGGGCCTTTATGTATGTAGGTTATGATATTACTTTTAAGCGTCTTCCAAAATTCCGACGCGAGTGCACCCAGTGTTGGCTGGCGAGCGCCGGTCACCACATCCTCCAGCCGCACGAGACGGTTGTCGGTGCACAATTGGGCCACAGGTCGATACAAGAAAAGCTCGTTACCTGTTCCTAAAATCAATAATGGGAGCGGTTCGGGACTGGGACATTGGATACCAACAAAGTTTTCCTCTTCAGGTGCCCCCTGAACAGCTAGAACGGAACGAGGGGGCTGAGATTCTGGCCCTGCCGCTTCAGTTTGTGGCAGTTCCGGTTCTGGTTGTGCCGATTCTGGTGGGTTCTGTCCGGGTGGTGTCGTTTCTGGTGGTTCCTGTTCTGGTGGTGCCGTTTCTGTTAGTCCCGTGCCTGTTGGTTCCTGTTCTGGTGGTCCCTGCTGAGGTGGTTCCTGCTCTCTGGCTCCCGCCTGATTGTCCGCTGAGCCCGTACCGGATACTGGTCTGTTGTTGTTACCCTCTGCCACCGACACAGACTCCTCCGGCTCTGGAGCCCCTGAATTTAGCCCCAGACCCGTTGAAGGTTCTTCGATGTTGCTGTTGTTGTTGTTGGCCCGGCTCTGGTTGCAAGCTGTGGACAGACAGAAGCATTTCATCTGCATTATTAGTTACGGATATTTAGGCTTAAACTTACTCCGCTTGGGTGGCGCATTGCTTGCACGACTCTGTTTGCGTTTTCTGGTCAACATGGCATTCGTCGGAGATAACGAAAATATGAGTGCTTAAGGGGGTTTGCCTGTTGAAAATTTGTATAATTTATTTTTATTTATTTGATTATTTAGTTTTGTTTTGTACCTACACACTTAACACTGCCGAACGATTAATGAACTGATTTTTGTATCTGGGTATTTGGAAAAATTAAGATTTTGTCGTCGCCTACCCTGTTCTCTCTAGGCTCTGGGTATTTGTGCCCCAAAAGCCTACTCGGATAAACCACAAAATGGTCCTCAATATATTTGCATTTTACACATTTAATGTCAGCTAAGAGCTAAGATGTAGCCGTGTTAATAGTACAGTACAGCAGAGACAGGCGCCACGTATACAGTACCTAGAGGGCCCCTATGCCAATAAAATACACTTAATTTCCAGAAACTAGGTCTAAAAGTTTTTTTATTAGCTCATTCGTGTTACTACAGCGGATAGTTGACAAGCACATCCTGTCGGGCCAATTCCAGCAGCATGGGATCGTCAAAGAACTTGTTAATGGACACATCCTCGGAGAGGCCCTTGCGGCGTCGTGTCTTGATCATGAATTCACGTGCCAAATGCGATGCTTGCTGTGGCTCCAGCGGTCGTATGATGATGCTCTTGTCCAGTGGATCACCCGGCACAATTTGCCAGTGATGGAATACCGACAAACAGAATGCCTGACCCTGGGTATGCGTTCGCAGATCCGTCTCAAAGCCAAACGAATCGATGGCGGGTATAAAGGCTTTGATCGTATAGATGGGCGAACCGGAAACGGGGGCATCCTGTGTCACATGACCTCTAGAAATAGAATAAGAATACAAAGTTGCCGTTGAAAATTCTCACACGAAAATTCCATCAACTCACCTGCGCCTGGCCAATACAGTGTACACCGCAGACACACAATCTGCGGGCGCCTGGACCTCAACGAAGAGGTACGGCTCCATCAGACGTGGCGTGGCCATGAGGAACGCCGAGTAGGACACACGACGAGCTGTGGGAATGATTTGGCCGCCACCGCGATGAAGTGCCTCATTGGCGATGACACCGTCAAGTATCTTGAATTTTACATTTCGTATGGGCTCCTCGCAGAGCGGACCCTCGCGCGTTCCCCATTGGAAGCCCTGCACAATGGAGTCCTTCACAGCGGTCAGCAGATTCTTGTCCACCTCCGAGGGCAGGGTATCGTCCACAAGAATATTGGGACCGGTTGAATCGGGGCCAAAGGCCCAGATGGAACGCGCGGCCAACAAATCCCAGTCGTAATTGACCTGAAAGAACTCTCCGATGCGTTTCTTGTTCCAACTGATGCAAACGGTTCCATTCTCAATGTCCTCGGCCAGGCCCTTCTCCAGGGGCTCCGATATCATGGTTAGCTTGTTCTTTTTGTTCGGCGTCTCGGCGAAACACTTCAGGGAGCTGGTCTCCACGACAGTCTCACAGAAGGCAACCACAGGATCGGCCACCTTTATGTCAATCTCCGAGTACATTTTGCGCAGATCATGCATGACGCAGTCCAAATACAACTCGCCAGTGCCCAGGATAACATGCTCACCCGACTCCTCTACGCGGGTCGAGAGCAGCGGATAGGATTTGTTCACCTTGCGCAAACCGTCCAGCATTTTGGGCAGCTCCGAGGGATTAACCGGCTCAACGGCAATCTTTATAATGCTCTGCGTGTTGAACTTGAGCGGTCGGAATATGTAGAGATCCTCGGGCACATTGATGTCCACAATAGTAGAGGTTTTCACGATACACTGATCGATGCCCTCAATGAGCACCCAATTTCCGGATGGGACGCGATTTAGCTCGACCTTATAGCGAGCCTCAAACACCCAGAGTCGACCCACTTGCAGTATCCGTGAATCCTCTTCATCCTGAAGCGTGTAGTTTTCGCCCAGCACACGCACCTCCTGGCCGGCATGCAGGGTGCCGGAAACAATTCGTGCCAGCACCTGGAAGAAGGTGCAGTCATCGTTCGGATACATCTTCGAGCTGTGAACCATCAGGGTGCCATACTGATTGCAGGTAATCATGTCGCGATAGATGTCCCCCTCTTTTGGCCCCGTATAAATGTGATCCACCTTCCGCTTGGCATTCTCCTGTGGGGATTTGATATGCTCCACGCACATGTCCACGAAGCCGCTGCAGTCGCCCATGAAACGATTGCAGACGAGTCGCAGCAGGGGCCGTATATTCGATTTCATTTCCTCCTTGGACACGCGTACATTCAGCTCGGCGAGAGTGTCCGACAGCGTGCTATCCACATCACCCACAACCTGTGCAATCAGCTTGTACATGGGCTCCAGTATGAACTCCACGAAACTGCGCTGCGCAGAGCTATGCGGCTGTTTCTTGGAAAACTTTCGGCTGCCAATGGGTCAGTGATAAATTATTGAGTACGGATAATGTGGAGTAGACACTTACGTTTTGCTATTGAAGTACATATCGCCCCAGAGTCGTTTGGCAAAGTCAATGTAGTTCACACCCTCATATGTGTCCGCATAGAGTTTGGCAAACGATTTCAAGGTGAAGCAGAAGCCATACAGCGAACTGGCAAAGCAAACATTGCCCAAAATGGGCGACACCAACAGTTGGTCATCTGCATTGCCGTATGTGCTGAAAGAGATGCGATATTGGTGGAATTATGGATGGGTAAAATAAATTCCACATACCTGAGTAGCCCATTGACCTCCTCTACAATGTGCTTCAGCTTAAAGTACGCATCCTGAGGCGGCAACTTAAGCTCCAGTATGAGACGATCAATCTTCAGTAGAGGACGAGCATTAGAAAATTACTTTCCAGAGGCATCTGATACCGGACTCACCTTGTTGATGCACACAGTAATGGACTGCCGCTCCTGAACGGCATGCTTAAGCAGGCGTTCAGTGTTCAGCATAACACCCTCCGCAGCATCGATAAACAGAACAACGCCGTCGCTCATGCGCATGGCAGCGGTGGTCTCATCGGAGAAATTAACATGGCCGGGGGTGTCGAAAATATTGAGCAAGTAGCTCTTCTGCTTGACATCCTGCAGGACGAGGGTGACTGGCGTGGCCTTAATACTGCATCCGCGTTCCTGTTCGGTGAAGAGCGTGTCTGTGTAGCGCAAGGAGCGCTCCTCCATATTCTCGAACTGGGGATGCGTTTGCCGAATCAGGCAATCAACGAAAGTCGTCTTGCCGTGATGCAGGTGCCCAACGAGTGCCACGTTTCGAATGAGCGGCGGCGTGTCCATCAGGTCGGCCATGAATTCCATGTCATAGGTGGTGTCCTGATGTTCCTGCTCCTTGATTTGGAACTTGAGCTTCTTTATCGGCTCAATAAGTGGCTTGTCCAGTGGCTGAGCATCCTCCTCCTGCACTATGGTCTCCACATCAGGACCGTACACCTCCACGGCCGAAGGATAATAGCGTTTATCCTCGTGCAGCACAACCGCTGTTACCTCCTTGTCCTCATCTTCTGGTGGTTCCGCTTCATCTTCGTCCATGGCGTCCTGTGTAACCACCCCAAGCGTATTATTGAGACAGATGCTGCGATTAAATTGCCGTTGCAGTACTTACATCTTGGTCATCCTGCACATCGGGCTGCCCATATATACTCTGGTCATCATCCTCGTCGCTATCCAGATCGGGGCCAATGTAGTTGCCAAACTCATCGTATAAATCGGAATCCATGATATTATAGAGCTAATATAAAGAACATATTTTCATTCAATGTACACTCCAGCGGCGTCTGCCGATTTTTAGCCACCAAGGATTACGGCGCTGTGTGAGTTGCTATAGCATCGAAGATAACTCACCAAGGTTTTAGCTCACTTTTAGTTAAGTTTTTGTCTAAATATTAGAGCTAAGACGTGACGCAAATATATATTTTTAATATTTTACACAAAACGCGGATTACAAGCACGCTTTTCTTCTTCTTCTTCACACCGAAAACCAGCTGGAACCGGCATTTGCAGCGTTGCCAGTCCAACAAATAAAAGTGTGACCAGACGCACAAAACTGTGACCTTGGCGGGAATATTTATATTTAAATCTAATGGCACGTTTGTGAACCTTTTTGTTGACAAACACAGGTAGAACGGTTTTAGGGTGAAAGGTTGAAAACAGGTAGATCGCTTTAGGTTATATTTCACCGCAATTTGCAAAAGTAATTAGTCAAAAGTCTCAGCTTAGCGCGTCAGCATGGTCATGAAAAAATTGTGTTTTCTCCTTTTGATGGCACATTATGCCGAGTCAATTCAGACAAATATTAACAGCGGAAATTTGAACGCTATTCTTGATCGAGATGAATGGACGAAAATGGCCAGTGAATACATAAAGAATCACAAGCCGTATATTGTAAAGAAGTACGAGCCATACAAGCCTGGAAAACTGAATTTAACCATCCCATCGGTCGGCCAAGAATGGGAAACAACAACGATTCAAGCAGTCATTGAAGCTACTACAGTTGAGCCGGAATTATCTACAAGCCACTTTACTGAAGAAATCTCCACAACAACAAGCAATATCTTCGATGTGGAAGGTACAACAGAGGCAACAACTGCCCAAACGACAACTACAGATACGGAATCACCAGCGGACACAACAGAGCAAAGTCACACCAGCACAGAAAACCCGGAATCAACCACAAGCATGGCCGAGATGACGACATCAAGCAGCATCGCTGAAACAACTTCCATCATAGACACCACTACCGTCTCCTTTAGGGAGGAAACGACCGGGGAAGCATCAGAAACGACAACAGAACCAACTGTGGTTACGACAGAGAGTCCAGAAACATCTACGTCAGTGTTGGAAATAATTGCCACGACTGAGGGCATTGAAACTACAACCTATTTAGATAATCTAATATATAATCCCCAAGTGGAGGAGTTTATAGACCTCCTAAACGGCACAACTACTGAAGTAATTGAGACGAGCACAATCGTCTCAGAGGAGACCACAACCGAAGGCGTTACAGCCACTACACTCAGGAGCGCGGCCCTTGTTGACGATTTTGTGCAGCCAAAGCCAAGAAATTTCCGATACTCTTCAGATACAAGACCTGAACCGTATTGGCTGTGAAAATTAAAATAAAAATATTTATAATAAATAATTTGAAATTATTCCCGAACGCGTTTTATTTTAAGGTCCTCTGGCCACACCGACACCAGCTCAGCAAAAAACACATTTTATTTTGATTATAAGTTTGTTTCCTCACGGTGTTAACTTCTTTTAACTATGAGTTTGGCCAGCATAAAGCAGAAGGAGGCAAAGGGCAAAAAGAAGGTTCTGCCCAAGTTGCGAAATATCTTGGCCAATCCATACAAGCAGCACAGGTAAGGCACAGCACAGGTCTGTCTCAAATCGCCTGTTGACAATTTTAAATTTACAGCCCAGTGCTCGGGGAAGATGAGCTGCTGCAGCTTCGCCAGATATTGCTAGAGGCCATAAAACGCAGTGAGCATACCGTAAAGACATTTGCCACCAATAGCCACATACATCTCGGCCTCGAGAGCTCCTTGCGCGCCATCAATTCGAGGCGCTTTTCGTGTGTGTTTGTCTCGCTGAGTCTGAGGCCATCGCATATCATCCGGCTAATAGCCACCAGTGCCGCCACTAAATTGCCAATTGCTCCCATTTATGCGCAACCAAAGCTGGAGGAGCTAACCTATGAGATTTTCGGTGTACGAGCACTTTCCTTGGTCTTGCCTCTGGACTTGGCTGCTGTGAGCCTGGACTTGGAACAATGGGTGAAGAGCCGTCAGAAGCCAGCTCCACAAAAGATTCCTGTCAAAGTTAAAAAGTCTTTTAAGAAGCGCCAGGCGAAAGTGCAAGATCTTCAGCCGGAGAAAACAGCACAGAAAGCTTCAGTGCCGCAGGTGGTGGTTGCAGAAAAACAATGGAGCGATGACTACATATCGATGTCCAGTGACAAGTCATGCGTAAGGATTGACCGAGTCGATGCCGAGGTGGAGACCCAGCAATTGGGCGCTGCACTCAGTAATTTGGCCATGAAAGCCAAAAGCAAAGTCATAGTGGAAGTGGAATCCGAACCAACGATACCCGAGTCGGCAGAGATTGTGGAGCATATGGAAGTAGAGGCATCGGAAGCCATCGATGAAGATGATTTCCTGCCCACCGACACGCATCGCTATCGGCCAGTCAGTGTCCACCGCACCCGTCCTAATCCTGACAAGAAACCCAAAAAGAAGCGAAACAAAAAGCAGAAACAGCAGCCGCCAAGCAAAACCAAGTGATGACTGGCAACGCCGCCACCAATCAGCTGTAGTTTTTAGGTTATGTTTCTAGATTTTGTTATCGTAATTTTTAAGACCGCTCCGCTCCAAAAATGCTTCGCTGCTTACGGCAAATATCTAGACTCGGAAAATACACAGCTGCACCGGCCAGCAGTTTGGTCAACAAGACAGCCATACCGAATGTGATCTCATCCAGACTTCAGGCACCACTTCACACCAGCAGCGTCACACGAAAATATGATAAAAAATCGCCGAGAGCAACAGACGACTTGGACACTGACGATGAAGCGGACGAAGAGTTTAAGGACGAGCGCGACTCCAAGGTGGTCAAGACCAAGGTGAACTCACTGCGCGCCGATCTGCTGCTCAAGGCCGGTCTAGGAATGGCCAGAAAGTGAGTGTCCAACCGGGTACCACTATTATTAACAGTACCGTAACCCATGCCCTTTCCCCACAGCAAAGTTGAACTGAATTTCTATGAGAGCAAAATCCGAGTCAATGGCAAGAAGCTGCAGAAGAAGAGCGTCCAGGTAAGGAGTCATGTGGCTAGAGAATCCTCCCTAACTATTACTTCATTTCAGTTGGATATTGGCGATGAGATCGATGTGATACGCGGCTTTAGCCAGTCGAATCCTTCCCATTTGGTAATATCACGTGTCGCCATACTCTCTGCCGGCGAACGCGAGGAGGGACTCAGTGTGCACTTGCGGCGCTACAAGTCGCTGCTAATTGAGAACTATCGCGGAGCGGATGCTTTTAAATCCTCAGAACCGGTCGCCCATTAAATGCAATCAATCTGGAAAGCACACACAAATACATGCAGAAGGGTTCTGGGAAAAACTGGATCCAACAGGCGTTTATTGAACTAATTGATCGTTAATAAGTAAAGAAAGATTCCCCTTCGCTTATCAGCGGTCTACGGAATCGACTCGCGATCACACAATCGCTACCACACACGACACCTTTCTGCGTGTGGATTCATTGGACTACCAACGGGACAGTTGTAGACTTTGGCAAAGTCTTCGTTATTGGTGACGGCGCCAATGACCCGAAACTTGTCGATTGTGTGCTCGTTGGACAGCTCCTCCCAGTAGTGCTCCTCCTCGTATGCATTGCACCAGAGCTGCGCAAAGCCAAGGAAAAACAACTGCTCTGGGGACAGATCGAGGCCGGGCATCAGCTCATTCTTATCCAGATACGTCTCGTTGTCCTGCTGTTGCTGCTTCATGTAGCTGCGATAGGCACTAAGGGCCTGATGCAAGCCGCCACTATCAGCAATGTTCTCGTCCTTGGTCTGGTTGCCATTGATCTTGCGATTGATCTCTGGTATCAGGTAATTGCTGTAATGCTCAGCATAGCACTCGGCCCGCTCGTTGAACACCGCATTGGACTTTTTGGACCACCAGTTGCGCTGGGAGCCGCTGCCATCGAACATGGAGCCGACCGTATCGAAGCCATGCGTTAGCTCATGCCCCACCAAGTAACCAATTGTGCCATACTTTAGGGAGTTGGGCCACAACTGATGAAAGGCAGGCGGATGCAGTATGCCCGCCATCACGTAAATGGAGTTGTCTATGTTATAGTAAAAGGCATTGACCTGCATTGACCACACCAACTCGAGGGGTTTCGTGGCATTCGATAGCTCACTAAAATGGTTCCCATTAAACCGTCTTATTTTCGTCGTAAGGCGTCTCAGGTTGATGTTCGTCTGAGCAAAGCTCTGCTCGACAATAGTCAGGTTATTGACAGCTCGAACGAGGCGCTCGGTGAGCTCATCGTCCTTAAAGCTACCAATTATCGGCTCAATGCTGGATTCCTTCTGCAGCGCTTCTCTTCGGGTTTCCGTGTCTAGCCACTCGGAATTTTCCAGCATCAATCGGAAGCTCTTGCGCAGCTCCATTATAATGCCAGAGATTTCTGCACTTATCTCTTCGGAGAAGTATTCCTGCAGAAGAGAAATAGAGACTTTTAATCGTACGCTAATCGATCGCAACACCAACATACCACACGGTAAAGCCTGTCAAATATATACGGCAGTGAGTACTGCACTGTCTGTAGGCAGTGCTCCTTCTGATACTTGGCCGCCTTCAGTTTGGCATCCAGCCGGTACAACAGGAGCATGGCCAAATAGTTGGCCACAGCCGGCTTATGCTTGGCGCACACCTTGTCCAGTTCCACATAGTAGAAGTCGCAGAAACTTTCGAGACTCTCTGCGGGGAAGTTGGTGCTGTTCCAGGCAATCTCATAGTAGCTGCTCCATTCAGAAAATGGGGGAATCTCTTCCGTTTCCGCATGCTCTTCGCATTCTTTTTCCTCAGCGAAACGATCGATAACCAGGAGGGCATCTTGCCAGAAGGCAAACACCCCCGCAATCACCTCCGAAACCTTCTCCTCGGACAGGCCGTAGGCCTCGAGGTAACCGCGCATACGTTTCTCATTCAACTTGTAACCTCTGGTGTCGTTGCTGGCGATATTGTCGGTGTGCACGATGTAGTCAAAGCCCAGTTCCGGCACCTTGAAGTAGGGCACAAATGGAAACTGGGGCAGGATCTTCTCATGGATTAGGCCATTGGCGCCATAGTTCGTCAAGTGGGCGCTCATGTTGAACCAGCTGAAATTGGCGGCATTCCATGCCTCACCGTCGACGGCTGGGAAACCACCTATCGACCTGATAAGCGCCAGATAAGCGGGGTCGGCCGCTGGCATCGGGTACAGATCCGCACCGAGGCAGGCATTATAGAATCGTTGTGCAATCAGCAGCTCGGCGGTGTAATTTAGATCCACAGCCAGTGAGTTCCTGGTCAGCAGCACCTCGACCACATCGCCCAACGTGTAACCGACATCGAGGAGGTTGCTCCGCTTATGGGATGACTGCCTGTCCTGCTTCACGTGCTGCCAATTGCCACAGGCGTACTCATAGAAGTCGTCGCACGGCGCCACGCTGTCATTCATGTACGATTTCATGCGGTCGGAATAGATCCGAAGATATTCCGCTGACGAATCTTTGACTGTATTTTCACTGGCTTCGGGTTTGCCCTGTGCATCTGTGACGGTTGTCCTGGCCTCACATGGCACTCTGAGCTCTGATATTACTGATATGTAAATAAAGACTATTGCCCACATAGTACGACTCGAGCTCGAAAACATTTTGCGCCTATTCATAAATTAATGGGAACAACGCACACACAGTATATATATATGTATATGGGTATATATGTATATAGTTTTGCTAATCGTCATTGATCGATTTGAATTAATAAAATAGCCAAGCACGCTCAACCTATGGCTCGGACGTCTGTACGACTGTTTAATTCAGAACGCGGATAAGAACTGGCAGCATCTGTGTTACTGGGAATAAGTATTTCTAATTTTCCTCTCTCGGCACAGCACAGCAGCCAGCGTCCAGCGATAATCGTGGTTTATTGGCACACCACACAGATTAGTAAACAAACAGTTCTCTACAAAACTTGACCTATGTTAAACGGCGACTGATAATCAAGAACTTACTAAAAAGAATCCCCTCGTGTTCGTTCATTGATTAGGTGGACATTCGTTAGACTTTAAATTTACGCGCAAGCAATTTGAAAATTGTCTCGCATCTGGCAACGCTAACATATCGTTATCGTTATCGTAAAAAAAAGAAGAAACACATCTCTGCATCACAAATATTTTGCCGCGAACGCAGAAAAAAACGCGTATTGTTTATAAATCATTAATTTGTTGTACAAAATGGCATTTAATCCCGTTGGTGATTGCCAGCTTGTGCTGCAAACCTATAAGGTAGGTAGAGCAACATCCATCTGCGGTGTTTATCTAATTTACTATCCATTTCCAGTACAAAAAGCATCGCATCATCTGCGAGATAAAAGTGCGGCCGTGCCTGGTCAACCACTTTGGCAAGAAATCCAATGAATATCACTGGATGACGCCTGATCGCTGGGCCAATATAGAGAGCGGCTTGTGGGGCCTGCTTGAGCAGGAGCAGGATGTTCATAATGTGCACGCAGACCTTTCAATAGATCACATGAAAGTGCGTGTGGAATCCAACGAGTTCAATGCGGAAACTTCCCAGATGCTCTTGCCCGGTGATAAACTGTCGAAAAATGATATAAGTCTTAATATACAGATTGAATATATACCGCAAGAAGGTGCTAACAATGTAAGCAAGGGAGACCACCGCGAGACTTCCGCAACCTCAAAATCTAGGTGTGTAAATCACAGAAAACTCCACACGTCATGTGCACTCATTTAAATTTCTTGCAGCGACGACCATGAAGTGCAGACTCAGGTAGCGCACAACGATAAACCAACCAAACGGACGTTGGAACCCGCTCAGGAGACGCACAAGGATAAGTACGTTCCCCCGGATAGAAAAGTTTCTGTAAATTCTGAGCAAGCAAAATCATCTAACAGCGGTCGCTCGTCACGTGAAAATAAACCAAGCAAGCGGACGCATCGTTCACAGTCAATGTAAGCCCTCCAAGATTAATTCAAGAAAATTAAAACAAATTCTATTTAACTTCACACAGTGACCAACCAGCAGAAGCTTCACAGATTCCACCGGGCAGAAAGGTTCCTGTAAAAATGCGGAACGCTCGCAGATCCATATCACACGATTCTGTGAAAGGTAAATCCTCTAACAGCGGTCGCTCTTCACGTGAAAATAAAACCACCAAACGGACGCATACACCAGAATCAGAGTAAGTGGTCAATGCTAGAATCAATTAATGCCCAGTACTAATGCATTAATGTACTGGCAGACAATCCAGGCCCAATTCTGATGGGCCGAGTCCCACAGGACGCCCGCACCGTTCACTAACGCGTCCAAGTCATTTAGACGACTTTGTCATAGGGTATGTAATAGAAGAAAGCCTGCCCCAAAAACCTCTATTAATTGCACATTTTCAGCCAAAAGAAAAAGACAAACAAAATCGATTCTGCAGATGCGCCAATTGGGAAAAAAGCTAATGCCAATGGGAATGGGAAAGCCTCGCCGCCACCTAAACCCAAATACATGCAGCTGGCTGATGCGCTAGCAGCGCTAACACCAGCTCCACGTAAGGTGGACATTCTGTAAGTTCTTGGAGTTACATTTGAATTGTATGCAATTTACCTACAGCTCTAAGATTGTTTTATCGGCCAGACTAATGAATAAAATGGAAAAAGAAGAGGTATTAAGTACATTCTCCAAGTACGAAAGCGACTTGAATCAATTCTTTATGGAGCACCGCCACAAGCGAACAGATCAGTTTATGGGCATTCAACATTTCCATGTCATAGATATACTGCGCCGAGACGTTGAGGAAAGCATGCTCCGGAAACTGAGCCAAGTGTATAGCACCCGAACAGTAGGTGGAAGAGCGATTAATATCTAAACTGATCTGATCTGATGATAATTTCTCGCTTGACAGGCATATGCATCGATGCAGATCAATGCTCTGCTGCCATTGTGGATTGTGCGTCTCTTTATGGACACATTCAATTTTTCTACTGCTGAGGAGGCAGTGCGCCAGATCAGGGACCAATTGGCTTACGGCACATACCTGAATGCCGTTAATGATGAGCCACTAGAATCCGACTTGGAGAACTGATTAAACACTCTTTATTTGTATTGGAATCTTGTTACTTAGTACGATTTGCATGCATACATTTCTCATTCTCATTGCATCAAAATAAAATCTATAAGAGTTCAACCTTCTTCCAGGCGAATGTTTCAAGTATGTTTATGTCTTATGGAGAGCTTTCTGAATTTGTTTTGTGGTAATGATGGGGCCACATAATAATTACGAAATTGTGTTACTTAATATCTAAAGACGTGTCTAGGTATTAATATTGATGAAACGGCGGCAGCTTCCTCTCAACGCCCGTCCAGAAGGTGTTGTAAATAAACTCAGTCTGACTTCCACACTCCTATATACAATTTATGTGGTACGCTGCAGCGGTAGATTTACAGCTCATCATGTGCCTGATCCTCCTCATCGTCATCGGCATTGATGTTCTCGTTGTTCTCTTGGCTACCCGACTCGGTATCCTCGGCAGTGGTGTCGTCATCCTCATCCAATTCGATTTGTTCGTCCAGAGACCCACCCAATGTCTGGAGCATCATTTGCTCAATGCTGTCGGCATAGTTGGCCGTCTCCTGGAGCATATAGCCAGAGCGTAGAGTGGCAGTGCGGAACATCATAACGGCCATATCCTTGGCGGTGTCATCGGCTTCGTCAGCCTCGACGCGACGCAACAGCTCGCGCATCAGTGGATGCCGGGGATTGATCTCAAAAGTTTTCTTCTGGCTAAGGTAGTAGCTGCGTGAGGGATCATCAGACTTCTGGTGGGCATTGGACATCGCCAGGCGCTCCATGTTGCCGGTCCAGCCGAAAACGCCAGCCACCAAGGCACACGGCGATTTGCTCAAACGCTCCGACACCTGAGCCTTGGAGATCTGATCCTTGAGAGCGACATCGCTCAGCCATTTGACGAGAGGCTCAAAGGCGCCCTTCAGCGACTCGAAGTTCTTCTTACTCTTCTCGGACTCGTTCAGCTTGAATCCCTCCTTGGCCACGTTCTGGAACTTCTTGCCATCGAATTCGGGCAGGGCCGAGATGCAGTACTCATCAACAGCCTCGACCAGGAAGAGCACCTCGTAGCCCTTGCTCAGCAGACGCTCAACGAACGGCGACTTCTCGACCTCAACGCGATTGGCACCAGCGATGTAGTAGATGTGGTCCTGCTTCGACTTCATGCGCTCCACATACTCGGCCAGCGAGGTAACGCCCTTGCCATTGGAGGTTTGGAAGCGCAGCAGCTTGGCCAGGCGAGATCGGTTGCTGGGATCCTCCATGACGCCCAACTTAATGCTAAGAAATGAATTACGAAAGCAATGAGCAAATATTTCATCAAAGATGAATGCGCAGCACTTACTTGGTGGAGAACTCCTTCCAGAACTGTTCGTAGGACTCCTTGTCGAGCTTCTTGAGCATGTCGAGTACCTTGCGCACCAGCTTCTTCTTGATAACCTTGATCAGCTTGTGCTGCTGCAGCGTTTCACGCGACACATTCAGAGGCAGATCGTCAGAGTCGACAACACCGCGGATGAAGCTCAAGAAGTTGGGCATCATGTCATTGAACTCGTCGGTGATGAAGACACGACGAACGTACAGCTTGATGTTGTCGGACTTGGTGCCGTAGCGGTTGAATGACTCGGATGGCTGTACCTTGGGCACGTACAGCAAACTCTTGAAGGTTACTTCACCCTCGGCGATGAAGTGGGTCTGGCTGAGGGGTTCGCTCGAGTCCTTGGTCAGGCTCTTGTAGAAGTTGTTGTACTCCTCGGTTGTTACATCGGCCGGCTTGCGAGTCCAAATGGGTTTGCTGTCGTTGATCAGCAGCCAATCCCAGATGGTCTTGGACACCTTCTTTGTCTTTGGCTTGTCGTCATCGGCGGCCTCCTCAACCTTGGCCTCTTCATCGACATCTTCCACGTCATCTTCGGTCTTTTCTGGCTCGGCCACGGCGTCCTCCTCCACGGGCACCTCCTCATCGACCGTTTTGCTGGACCACATCAGAATGGGGAAGTTGATGAACTGCGAATATTTGCGAATCAGCTCGCGTACGGTTTCCTCCTCCAGGAAGTCCTGGGCCTCTTCCTTCAGGTACAGCGAAATGATCGAGCCCCGCTTGAGGGTATCGCCACGGGGATCTTCGGTGATGGTAAAGCTGTTGGCGTCCGACTCCCAGATGTACTGCTTATCGTCGTTGTGCTTGGTGGTGACCACCACACGGTCAGCGACCAAAAAAGCCGAGTAAAAGCCCACACCGAACTGCCCAATCATGTCGTTCATGTCCCCAGCCTCCGCCTTGCTGGGATCCTGCATTTTGGCCAGGAAATCGGCAGTGCCGGACTTGGCAATTGTGCCCAGATTGTTAATCAGGTCCTGATGTGTCATGCCAATGCCCGAGTCCATGATATGCAGGGCCTTGTTCTCCTTGTCAGCCTTGATGCGGATATGCAGCTCGGGGTTGCTCTCCAGCTCCTTTCTGTCGGTGAGGGCCAGCAGACGAATCTTGTCAATGGCATCGGAGGCGTTCGAGATCAATTCACGCAGGAAGATCTCCTTGTTGCGGTACAGCGAATTGATGATTAGTTTCATCATGCGGTTCACTTCTGTCTGGAAGGTGAACTTCTCCGCCTGCCCACGCAAGAAATACGCAAAATAAATATTTAGCACATATTCTCCGCATCAGCATTTTACACATACCTTTTCGCGTAATTCTTTCAGCTGCGCAACATTCAGTCCATCCAGCTGGATGGCCTCCTCCTCCCGTTTCAGGGTCTCAGCATCTGTGGTAGTAGTAAGGTATGCATATTATAGATAAGGGGCGTCAACACCATGGCGTCAAGGTAAGTGCGGCCAACGCTGACGTGTACCAAAAACTCCAACAGCGGGGGGGCGTAACTTACCAGTTCTGGAGCCTTCCTTGAATGCACCCAAATCCAGGTCAATTTTCTCGGCACCTGCCTCATCCTCAGCGGCAATCTGACTTATGCCTGCAGTAATGCATTGAATGGAAAATACGCAAAATTAGGTTAAAACACCGGCATTGGCACTGAAGCGTGGCAAGAATACACGAACCTGATACGAGCAAAAGCCCCAACAACAGATAGTATTTCATTTTTAATATAACTTGATTTACTAGGAACAATAGAATCCTGTCTGCCGAACGGCCACGTCACAACAATTCAATAAACTGGGCCTGCTTGATTTAAATAGAAAAATTTCCGACTTTGCACACACAAAAAAAATGACGCGGATTTATATGCCGACTTATCGATATCGACCCTAAGAAATATACCGAAATATACTTCAAAAGATACCGTAAATATACCAACGAAAATCATATTTCCCCGATTTTGATATTCAATTTAATGCTTCATTATAAATAGGACCCTCAGAGCCAAAAACATAATTTTATCCCATAGACGAATCAATTTTTTACACTCTGGACAATTACAAAGACTCTCTTTTATTGGATTACTTATAAAATAGGGTTTAAACAAAGAAGGTAAAAAAATGTCACTTGTTTTACATGATAACTACACGGTAACTACAAAATATCGATAGTCGCCATAACACGTCGATGTTTCCAAAGAAAATTAAAAACGTCGAGGCATCGATGTTTCCATCGATGTTTCTCTTCGCCTTCCTCACATGCTCACCAACACCAACACATATGTGATAGTATCGGGCTCAAATAATTATTAATTATTTTTTTGTTGATATTTACTGGTTACTAACCTGATTAAATAGAGCGGGGTTAAGCTATTTTTTTTCTCGGTTTCTGAGGTTTCTGAGGTCCCAATCACACTCGACAAAACAAATCAAGTGAACTATTTATTTTTCCATATATATACTTTTGAAAATGACCGCCAAACTCATTTAGCAGAAAATACTCTTGACATTTTTCGCTCTCAAACAGTGGTGGTTTTTCAAAATTTGCTCTCTTTTTTGTGGTGAAGAGAGCGCTTTCGTGGTGACTTTTCGTGGTGTGAGAAACATGTATCTTACGGGAACGCCATATAGAATGAAGATTCATTGTTGCGTCCATACGGTTCCCGTAAGATACATTTGATTTGTATGGGAAAATTTTCAGCAACATGGGGAAATGAAGTAGCAGCATTGTTGTGCAATTTTGGCACGGGATGAGCTACAATCTGCATACCTTGGGAAAATGGGTATTATAGACTTGAGATATTGCTTGTAATTTCAGGCTCCAATTAATGCAGAAACAACTGAGTAGTTGAATAGAGATATAGATCTCTGTTATAGAGATATTAACGAAATTTGGCAGCTCACGGGTATAGGTATCAGAACCAGGATAAATGTATATACAAAACACAAACATGTGCATTTATAGGTAAAAAACATGTCAATCTAGGATAAAATCATAAATAATGTTTCAATGGAGTTTGGAACAAAACATTTAACATCAATTAAAAGAAATAAGGTATACAAAAGCATACGCATAGAAGAAACTTGGTTCACCAGCCACACTGACGTCACATTTAGTCAACATTTACGTTCTATGCTTTGGCCGTTTTTGTTTGAACCCTATTATCTAAACAATCCCATTAAAAATAGTTGTCAAAACTAGCCAATCCTAAACAAAATTCATTGAGGAATTGGATAAAATTATTTTTTTAGGGCTGAGAGGGCCAACTATCTAGTAATATTAAACTGAATATCAAAATTGACAAATTTCATATCACAAAATATCATGGTATGGCAGTCCGCAGCCACTACTAATTGCACGAGTCTAGCAGCGCCACAAAAACAATGTCACATTCGTTTTATGTTGTTTTTTGTTTAACCTTAATATGTAAATAATCCAATAAAAAGACTTCTGAAAACTTGCCAATCTTGTAGAAAATTTATGTATCTATCCGATAAAACTATTTGCTTAGGGCTGAGAGTCCCAGCTAGCTAGTAATTTTAACCGGAATATCAAATTCAAGGAATATCAACGTTGAATGTTTTGAAAAAAACAATCGATACTATCGTAATAGTATCGGGCTCAAATAATTATTAAAAAACCATTGAAACCTTTTAGGAACTTGTCCATTGTAAAAATTAAATGCCACCTGTCGATTTGTTTACAAATGTGTCTTCGTATTTTATAGCAGCCAATCCAAACATATCAAAAGCGCAACGACTGTAGCTCGATACTATCATGATAGTCGCTAAACCGTCGATAGTAGAGGCTAGCAGTAAAATATCGATACTATCAATAGTTCCCTCGATGGTTTGACACCTCTAATGCGTTAGTTTAGTCGGGTCGGGCAAGAAATTTTAATGATTCTTGCAATTATTCAACGTTACGTTTGCGTGAGTTGTCAAGCATACACAATATCAAAAGATATGTACATTTAAATATTATATCTCCAGTACCCACTTGATTGCATGCGCCACGGCAGCAGCAACCGCGAAACCCCTCAACGACGATCGCACATTGGCCCCGCACTCGGCCACAAACTTGTGGCGAGCAAAGAAACCCAATCGGCAGACACCGCAGAGCAACATTTCGTCGATGCCTAGTCGTGTCTAGTTGTGCGTGGAGGTGGAGCAACAGCAGCAGTGTCAATTAGTAGTTTCGCGTACTCCCATTCATACATCGCCACACCACCCAGTTCCCCCCCCACTTGCGGGTCCGTGTTATACAACAAAATTTCCCAGTGCTCCTACTACGCCGGCTAATTCTAAACGTATATGTATGTTGTCCTTTGGGCCAGAGGTTCAACCAGACCAGAAATCGGAATCTAATCAGTCCCGGCCCCGGCCTTCATGTGCGTGCGATCGAAATAATTAACTGTGCGTCGTGTAAAGCCCTATCAGCTGCTCGGTGCAAATAGCTCAAATAGCTGCGAAATCAGAGAAAGCACACAGGCAGGCCAGGCCAGCCAAAGCAAAAGAAACGCCAAGCCAATAACAAGCAGTGCGTGAGTCTCCTGTTTCGCTTGCACTTGCCACTGGACGAACATAACTGGTTGGAGCTTGCGGAGAGTAATAGAAGAACCCATTGCAAGGGCAGCCAACGCCACCAGCCAAACCATGAATATCGACGACTACGAGAGTTTGCCGACGACCAGTGTCGGCATAAATATGACGGCAGGCGCCATCGCTGGCGTGCTGGAGCATGTGGTCATGTATCCGCTGGACTCTGTTAAGGTGAGATGAGAGTTTTTTACGCTAAACCACTGGGTGGCAACCGGAGCAGTGCATAAACACGGTGCACATAACCTCACAAATGCTTGTACACAAAACGAAATAATTTTGCATGTCCGTCCGTGGCTAGTGCTCTGGCATAATCGTGATGTAATTCCTTGGCTATCGAAGACTCTGCGGCGGGTGGTCTTTTCTCTCACTCTGCAGCACTCAGTGCTCAGCTGGGTGAGGCGTTTATCAGAGCACGTTCTGTGGGTTTATGCTTTTCCCGATTAGATTAGCCCCTCCACTTCATTAACCGAGATTTGCTATGCTATATGTGCTATCAGGGCAGTTTGATCGGCATTATCGTATGAGCTCCTCGTTGCGTGCCCTTTGCAATTTCGATTTCACAAATTTGCATATAAATTTACGATAGAAAATACGAATATATATTCCACAAGGCAAGGCAAGGCAATGCCCGTGCCGCCGCTCGATAAGTAGATTCCATTTCTGGCTACTTTATACAACAATTTTTCACGCCATTCGGTTCGAGCAGAAAGATATTGATTTTCTTTACTGGCCATATGTGTCAGTCAATCGGGCGAAGCTCCTAAGAATTCTGTTGTTGTGACAGGCGGCAGCAGGCAATAGGCAATACGGGTGCCAAAAGAAAAGCCCATTCGGGATTCCCGGCGTCATCGTTATAGTCCAGTTGCGTTTCAAGTTGACAAACTAATTTCATTGAGTTACGAAATCAAGAGCAGCAGAGCTCTACGGTTTAATTGAACAACAATTGAAACACTTTTATTCACATGATTATTATTTTTCGCTTTGTTGCCGTCTCTGGTTTCTGTTTATAAATAATCTATCTGTAAATGGCATATAGCGATGCTTGTCATTTCATTCTGTTTCTGCTTATCGGAGGGAGGCGCATGATGCATTGACTTTTCGGAATTCCAAATGCCGGGCACGGCACTGGGAATCTATGCGAGTGAGCATGGAGCCCATATTTTTGTGTGTTTGCCTTTTATCGGCCTGTCCCCTGCCTGTCTTTTATGTAATCTCTTCCCCAGTTTTCAGCTTGTTCGATGGCATTTTAATTACGGTTTCCACATTTCTTCCGATTGCTCCGCCCACACTCGAGAAACAAGTGCCACTCATTGGATGGTTTTTCTTCACCTTGAATGGCCGTGTGTTATCACCGTCGTCGTCAGATGATACTAGACTAGTGTGCCCTATAAAGCATGTAAACAGACGATGCAATTCAGTTTTTTTTTCCAGGAAATCTTATCTGATTCGTGCAAACCCCACGTCCCTGTTATTTACGATATATGGACGCTGTTCTCTCCACTCTACTCTCAGCTCTCCACCTTCTATTATATGTGGTTCCAGCTTGATTTGATTTGCGGGCACACCTACCAGTGTATATAGTATATAAGTACATGTGTACTTATTCCACGATTTAAATACGGGGCACTGACTGCTAAATGTTTATGCCCCCAGCGAATTCGTAGACAAAATAAACTTATATAGACATATACGTATTTATATATTTCCTCCCTATTAAAGCGATATAGTGACACAATTAAAAAGTGTTTCTCGCGTCTGAATCACGATGAAATGCATATTTTATGTTTGCGAATGAAAAAAGACTATTTTAGTTGGGAGACTTGTGGAAATATCATGAGTAATAATGACTTTGCAACAAAAAATTCTATTTGCTCCACGATTTAATCGGATAATTATTCAAAGAAACAAGTTTACAAACAATAACTAAACAAATAGAGATAAACATGGAATTCCCCTTTTTCTGGCGAGAGAGAGAGACAGATAAATGCACACTAAAACGTTTCCAATTTATTTACAGACGCGTATGCAGAGCCTTACATCAGCACCCAACATGAACATAATGTCGACCTTTCAGAATATGATCACACGTGAGGGTTTAATGAGGTACGTAGCAACTGAAACATACACCATCCCCCCCCCCCAACAACAACAATATAATGAATGATTCTTTTGCAGACCCATTCGTGGAGCCAGTGCTGTGGTTGTGGGCGCAGGACCCGCGCATTCCCTCTACTTTGGTGTCTACGAGATGACAAAGGAGACGCTCACTAAATTCACATCACTAAGCCACCTTAACTACGGTTAGTACTGCCCTATAGAACATCCTCATCACCCCATAACTATGATCTATAATGACCGTCTCTCTCTCTCCCTCTGTGTTATAGTGATTTCTGGGGCAGTGGCCACGCTCATACACGACGCCATCTCCAATCCCACGGAGGTGATCAAGCAGCGCATGCAAATGTACAATTCACCCTATTCGTCGGTTATCACCTGCATGCGTGATGTGTATCGGAAGGAGGGCTTCAAGGCCTTCTATCGCTCCTACAGCACCCAACTGGTCATGAATATACCATATCAGACGATACATTTTACCACATACGAGTTTATCCAGAATAAAGTGAGTATTTCAATCATCTGGCATATCTATAAGAAAGGCGTGTTTAAGCCAACACCGTATCAATGTTGCAGCTCAATTTGGATCGCAGATATAATCCACCAGTGCATATGGTAGCGGGTGGTGCGGCGGGTGCCTGTGCAGCGGCCATAACCACACCCCTAGATGTAGTTAAGACGCTGCTCAATACACAGGAAACGGGTCTAACAAAGGGCATGATTGAGGCCTGTCGCAAGGTAATTTCTATATACATCTAAGGATACAAAACAGGATGCACTTAACTTTGACTTTCTGAATTTCAGATTTACCACATGGCTGGGCCATTGGGTTTCTTCAAGGGAATGACAGCTCGTGTCTTGTATTCGATGCCTGCGACGGCCATTTGCTGGTCCACATACGAGTTCTTCAAGTTCTATTTGTGTGGCCTGGAACGTGATCAATACAAATCGTCAATTACGGGTCGCTCCGAGCTGCAAGAGCCCCGCAAAACGGCCTATGTATTGCCAAAGAGCACAACCGATGATGAGGATCCGTCATTGGCGACCGAATCTTTGGCCGTGGATGCCGCCACGCAGAAAGATGCCGCTGTCCTGCATCCGACGCCGCCCACGGTCAATGCAGCTGGTGCCATTAAAACGGTCTGTGAACTGTCCACACGCACGGCTGCGCCCACCATTAATCTGCACACGAGGCACACGGAAGTGAAGAGCCCCTATGAGCGGGGATTTTCCAGCACGTAGACTGTGCGCAAGGACGTGGCCGCAAGCGAGGCGGCCAGCGTTCGACACATTTGCAGCGGCGACAGCTAAAACACATAAGCATAGCTATTAGTTGGCGGCGGGGAAAGGTGGCTGAAGGCGGCAGAGGTGCAGGTGTCATTGAAGCAATGGTGAGGTGGACACGGCGTTTGAAACGTCTGCCCCCCGTACCCATGCCCCCTAGGCCCTAGCCTCTCTGTGTCGCTTCTGGCCTCGTTTTTTCCCCTAGCTGTTTGTATGAATACTCTGCGAGGAGTCGGTGAGAGAGTGTTATCACTCCCATAGTCGGAGGTTAAATCGTAGTTGTTGTTCTGCACAAAACGCTCGCTCTCACACTCCCCCACCCCAAAAAAAAAAACGCAAACATCCCCTGCCCCCCTAAAACACACATACACACAAACAAACACAGTTAATTTTTAGGCAAAAAGCGAAAAATTCTTGTTAAAAAAAAAGGAATTGAGTGGAACCCCAACTCGTGTAAAGTTATATTACCATTATCTATTATGTTGATCGTTGTAAAGTAAGCCGAAGCTAGAGAGCAAAAAATGCAAAAACGCCAACAGGAAAAAATAAATTGAAAAAAATTCAATGATTTGTAATCCAATTACACTTTCATCTTCAAACTGAGATGTTACAAAATATATTATATATGTATAATAACGAGAGCCGCAAAAAAGATATCGCTCGATCCTATTCCAGGCCCCCAGGAACCTACCCATCCATCCATCCCTTGGGTCCCAGAGTAGTAGAATAGAGTAGAGCCTCCTCGCACTGGCACTTGACTGATCTGAATCCCATCCCAACCCATTCGATTGATTGACTTTACTGAATGCCTCGAACCCTGTTCCTCTACTTCTAGCCTCTAGAATATCAAAATTATAACCTCAGTCAAGTGCCATGTGTAGGGGGGGGAACCACACCCAGTCCCCAGTCCCCAGAATACACAATAATAATTATAAATAAATTCATGTTATTTTTATTGTTTATATATATATGCATTACTATATCCAGTGCCGTGCCGGACTTAATTGCTGGCACAGCAACAACTTTTTAGTTTACTGCTTTTCTAAGAGCTTATCCATCGCGATATTCAAAAGATAATTAATTATATCCGATAAATGAATCAATTTTCTATAAGATTGTCAAATTTTTAGAAGCGCCTTTGTTTTTGCATTATTTTGCACAATTTTGTAACCTAAGAAAGCGACAATTTGAAAATAGTGCCGCGATGTCGCACAACTCTGCCGAAAATAAGGTTCAGCGCTGTCATACGCTCCCTCACAGGGACTTCATCAAAAGGTACATGCAAGCAGGCTGCGTGCTCCTTACAACGATTTTTTCCGTAGCTTAATAGAAAAGGGAAGAAGATCCCAGTTAACCAAAATGAGCCTGGGCGTGTCGGATTCCTAGTGACAGCCGCCTCTACCTAATCTAACCTAGTGTGCCAATACTTTTAGCCTTTTTTTTTTTAATTGTACAAACTAATGTAATAAAATCATAGAAAATTGATTGATTTTCGGATAAAATTATATGCCTTTTAAAAATCGAGATGGAAAAGCTCTTAAAAAAGCGATAGCCTGACAAGTTTTTGCTGTGCCCACACTTAAGTACGGCACTGTGTGTATTTAAATGTACTACACCAACAATTATTCTTAAACTGTAAAGTGTAGGATACCTAAAATTAAAATTTTATTGTTACCACAAATTCTACTGAAAACAGAAATCGATTCAAAAAAAAAACAAATACAATTGGAAAGTTGAAAATTGCCCACTTATCAATCTCTGTCCCTTTTGTGAACAGCGATAACAAAATACAGACAGACAGAGAGAGAGAAAACATGCGGCAGGATATCAATTCCGGCGGCGCCTACGTAGGATTACTGAGTATCGGTTATAAAGGTAGAGCCGCGAGCCTTGCCGCGGCTCACAACGTTTCCGCTCGTTTATTTTGTTTTTCATATTTTTTGATTTGTTTTTCTTAGCTAGAGGATTGAATCCAAGCCACGTCGACGCGAACGCTGCGACAGAACTGGACGGGGCTTGTAGAGATCATCGTTTGTGTATCGCTGCTGCTGGCAGAGCTTCTGGCTGAGTCGCTTGGCAGACACTCCTCCGTCTGTGGAATACACAAAAACAAACAAATCAATTGGATGGGTTCTCGGAAACGATTCGGATGCGGATTGCAGGCAAACAACATTTTGACCACAGAGCAGACTGAACGACATGAGGGAGAGAGAAGTGCTTACCCACCACATGAAATTTTATTTTGTTAGGACTGGACTAATGTGCATGATCGGCATGTGGAAAGAAAGCAGAGTCAGAGGGTAGAGATCACAAAATGTAGATGAGAAAGGATGAGAGACATGTACACGAAATGTTTTGTTTCGCTACTCAAAAAAAAGAGCATTAATCTATGGCAAATACGCACCAGGCTCCTGCTTCTCTATCGCTTCGTTCTCCTTGGAGTTGATGCTGCCGTCGGAGGGCGTGGGTGAGGCCTTCGGTTCATTGCGACGCAACCTTTTTACGGGACTGCCTGAAGAGCTGCTGCTACTCGGATCTATGAGCTGTGGCGGTGTCGTCTCGCGCATCTTTTTCTGGCTTTCGCTCTCAGAGTCGCCATCTCGGTGTCCAGCCGCGCCGCCGTCCAACCTACGCTTTGATTTGGTTCGCCGTAAGGCGCGTACATCTATCACATGCTTGGGAATCTCATCACTCAACTTGTTCAACAGAGCATCCCGATCTGCAATCAGTACATTGATGAGCTCCAGGCGTGCCTTGAACTCGTCGGTGTTATGCTCAAAGCATGTAACATCCCCCGTTTCGGTTTCAGTTGGGGTTTCGCTAGACTCTGCTGAAATCTGCTGCTTTTCAGCTAAAGAGTCGGGCGTCTCCAAGCTGTTGGCTTCTTCAGTCGCTGCCTCCTCTGATACTTTATCAGCTATTTGGGAATCCTCCGAGTCTGTAGGCGACTTCTCCATTTGCTTTAAATCAATAGAAATCTCATCAGCCTCTTTGCACACTTTCTCAGTGACAGGGACGGGGACAGGGGCTTCTTGTACAGATTCAACTTTTACCAACTCTTCATTCAGCTTCTTCTGTTCATCTTCTTTGGCAGATTCTGCTGGCGTTGACTCTGTTTCCATTGCCTCAGAAAGTGCCTTATCCTCCGGTTCTTTTTCGACTTGATCCGCGTCCTTCTTTGACTGAGAACCAGAACCAGCGGCACACAATTCAATGAAGCTGGTGGTGGATTGCTGTAGAATATCACTGACATTGATTACACTGCTGCCCATGCTCAAAATGACAGCGCTATCGGTGGCACCATTGCTACCGCCATTTGTATTGCCATTCGAGTTGTCGCCATACTGGACAGGGGCATCGGTTTTTTCGTTAGCCGTACTGGGATCCGTCAGGGGGGCAATGTGTGATGCCCCGCCAGAGCTGGGCGGCGGCTTGCCCTCATCGTTAGAGTCTGAGCTCCGGCGCTTTTGCAGCTTTGCCTTGATTTCGTTGTGATCATCCTGAACGATTGGCGTCGCTGCACTCGTAGAGTTTGTGGAAGATGTGGATTTATTCCGGTCACGGTCACGACTACGCTCGTGTTCTTTCTTCTTGGATGAGGAGCCGCTGCTGCTGCTGCTTTGATGGCTACGATGGCTCTGGCTTTGGCCGTCTTTGCTCCTTTCTTTGTCCCGGTCAGAGCGTGACGAGGATGAGCTGGACTTGTGTTTCTTGTTTGAGGACGAGGTTTCGTGCCGTGACGAGGATGTAGAGGCTGAACGCTTCGAAGACGATGATTCGCGATGAGTCCTACTCGACGAGGTTGAGGAAGAGCTCTTGTCCTTCTGGGCGCTGCTGGAGCTGCTGTTCTTGTGCTTCGAGCTGGAGTGCGAGGATGAGTGCTTCGAGCTGGAGCTAGAGGAATGTTTACTTTGCGATTGCGATTTATGGCGATTGCGATCGGCATCACGGTCCTTTGGCTCCCGGCTTTTGCGTCGCTGTTTATCATCCGAACTGCTCGTATGGTGCCGTCTATCCCTCTCCTTGTCCTTATCTTTTGAGTTGCTCTTCGACTGGGATGATGCGAAAGTCAGCGTCTTTGTGGCGTCTTCTTTGGGAGTTTCATTTGGTGGCGGCAGCTTTACGGCCACATCTTCTTTAACTTCTTCCACTTTATCTGTGGCCGGGGCGGGCAGCAGAGGCGATTCTTGTCTCACGATTTCCGATCCATTTGACTCGGCCTCTGGGATTTTATTTATCTTGAGACTGGAATCTTGTGCAATAGCTTCTGAGAACGATCCGATGCTAATCTCAGGTGCCGCTGTTAGTTCAGTCGTCTTAGGCTTAGTTGGTGGTGCCTCAGATTCAGGTGGAGGCGACTCAGGAGCCGTTGGCGCCGCCTCAGGAGCTGGTGGTGGTGTCTTAGGTGCCGGTGGTGGCGCCTCAGGAGCCGGTGGTGGCGCCTGAGGTGGTGGTGGTGTCTTAGGTGCCGGCGGTGGCGTCTCAGGAGCCGGCGGTGGCGCTTGAGGTGGTGGTGGTGGCGGTGGCGTCTGAGGTGGTTGGGGCATTGAAAAAGCCTCAATTTTTGGTGGAGATGGCTGTTCCACAGGTTCCAACTCATGTGCAGGTACAGGTTCGATGGAGGCATTGCTGGCATCCTCAATATTGGCTTTTACCTCGGACATAATTGCGTCCTCAATGGATAAAGCCTGGGACCCACCGTTCGTGTTCTCCGACACGGAGTTCCTGCGTTCGGTACCTGAATGGTTGGGAAATCGATTATAAATAATGGAAAATTACATTGTTGGATGCCTACCCTCGAATGTGATGGCATCCTGCTTGATGTCAAAGTGCAAGGGTCGACTGCAATGGTTCCCGCCACTTGCATCGTTGGAATTCTCGCTAAACTTTGGCATCTGCGCCTCCTCTGATATGTTAGCGGCCATGTTGGGCGTTAATTCGACGCTGTTGCTGGTGGGCGTTGGCTGCCGCCCATCCACAACCGACTCTGTGTAAGAGGCAATGGTGAGGCGACTATCACTGGATACCTGCGATAGTTGCGAGGCCTGCGATGCACCATTCACCGAGTCCAAGGTGTTCAGGGACCCATTGTTCAGATCGTCCTTATTTGCTGGCTTGTCCTCGCTCAACGGCTCAAATGACGGCGAAGTGTCATCATCGAAGTTCCTATCATCCACACCCGGCGGCAGATCATCCTCTTTGCTGTCGTCCTTGCCATCGGACTGCACTGTGCCGCGGTCAGAGTCGGGGCTGATTTGCTCCAGATCGGTTGGCAGTAGACCGGCAGAGGTCTCCACATTTAGCAGGCTGCTGCCGTTCATGTGGCCAGCATATGGCGGCAACGGCGGCGCTGGCAGCAGCGTCGGCCTTGGTGGCGGCGCAATGGTAGGTGGCGGCGGCGGTGTGATGCCTAGATACTTGTAAGCAATGCTTTCGATCTTTGGCTCAAATATGGTGGCAACCTTCGGATTCACCACTTGGTCCACGATTTGATCCACTCCCTTTTCCAGGACATCGGAGCTGCAAATTTGGAGCGTTCAATTCGGTTACCTCAGGCCTGCATAAATACTTGTCCCCCAAATACTTACTCAAGCAAATGCTTGCGCAGCCTTTCGCGCAATTGGACCTTGTTTGTGTCTGGCGTCCAGCGTTGTTTGGCCAGAAAGTCTTGGACTGCCGTCTCCACCCGATTGCGAACATTCTGATATGCGGGCTTGGTGTCCACATCGGCCAGGCAGCAGTTGAAACGAAATTCGTCGAAAACGCCCTGCGATTTCACCTCCTCAATGAGGTTTTTTACAAAATCGTCCATTGTATTTTCTATTGAATTTCCATGCGCTGCGAATTGTTTTCGTCCAAACGGGTTATCGTTATCGACGGTCATCTTCGATAGTACTGTCAGGGATGGTGTGCAAAATTATTTAAAAAATTTAAATTTGTACACCATGAAGTAAGAACTTTATTTCAAATCCTATATAATTATTCTCAGAGTTTGGAATGAAAAATCTATTTAAAAGATAATATTCGTGGGAGTTAATATACAGATCTATTCATAAATGTCAAAACTTAAAAATTTGTATTTAATTCTAGATCTTTAATATATTTACAGGTTGAACAATTTTAATTTTTGTCTATTCTCTTCTTTGATATAAAATAAATAAATAAAAATCTAAATCGGGATGCCACTCTTTCACAAGATATTAACCGAAACGCGGAATTTCGCAATGCCTATCGATGCCCATGGTTGCACGCCGATACAAATTTTGGCGCACGCGAAGCGCTGTTTCTCTTTCGATTGATGGTTTTCTGCTGGAATTTTAGCAAATATAGTATAGCAAATTAAACAAATAATGAAGCTAAGTGCGGGTACACACTCGGAAACAGATGGTGTGGATGCCCTATGCAATGGATCGTTCCATGCTGATGCTGATATAGCCACCGACGACGCGGCTGCGGGCAACGCCGCGTCCGTGGCATCGGCATTCCAGATAACGGAGCATCTAGAAACGGTAAAGGGGGTACATAAAAGACGCAGCATTAAACCCCATGATGGCGACCTGGAGCTCACCGAGAACGACTTGAATGGCTCATTGAGTCCGAAAAATGCGCCATCCGCCATCAAACAACAGCAGCGTCTCTCCGCATTGAACAGTAAGTACCCACTATGACACACACTTTAACGTTGAATGCCTCTGCCGTATGCTAATATGCTTTATGCTCTCTTGTGTGTCTGCTCGCGTTATCAGGAAAGCGCGATTTAATTAATTTGCAATCGGCGCTGAGCCCCAAATACATTGGCTATGCAAATGCCAACTCCCCGACGCCATTGTCCGACTCGGACGACACTGTGCGCACAACGCGTCGACGCGTCAATCAAGCAGCCGCTCTCAACAACAACAACAACAGCAGCTGCGAAGTACAGCCCAGGGACAATAACGAGGGAACAGAATCACCAAAGACCGTGGAAGGGACACCGCTGCTAGATCGCAGTGAGAGCAAAACCTACATGAGCCCCATCGAGAAGCTGCTACTCAAAAATGGCGCTAGCTCGCCAAACAGCACAGGCTTTGAAACGGATCCCGAAGACGTGGTACCACTAGCCGCCCGCTTAAAGCTGAAACGTAAACTGAAGCGGGCCGCTAAAACGAGTCCGCCGGCAGAGCAAACCCAGGTAGCAGCGACTGCAGAGATGGAAGAACGGACAGAGGAACCGCCTGCGACTTTAGAGATGGAGGAGCAGAAAGTAGAAGCATCTTCAGAGGTGCAAAATCAGACGGAGGAAGCAGCGAATACAGTAATGGAGGAACAGAAAGAAGAATCGAATTTGGAGAAGGAAGAGCCGCCCCAGGAAGCATCTTCAGCTATTGAAGAGCAAGAGGGAACAAGCGATTTACAGCGAAAAGAACTCACTGATGATGCAGTCATCGAAGACACCGTCTCCCTCAATACGGATGTAAAATCTGAGTCGGAGTCTGAGTCTGGAAATTCTTCCTGCGATGTAAATGAGCCAGAGGTCGGCAGCCCAAGGACTTCATTAGGCAACGTACACGCACAAGAGCTGCCTGGCGAACCCGCCGATACGAGTATCAAAACCATTGATTCCACTGACGAACCGAACGACCCAGACTCTGAATTGGCGTTCGCCCTGCCAGCGGCAGCATCAACCGACATGAAATCCCCGCGAGATCTGAGCCCGACGGCCTTTCGACAGCCAGAGGAGAACGGATACGTTAAGTCGCCATCGTCGGTGAGCCTGGACAGCGCCAAAGGTTTATCCATTGTCACCGATCCGGGTTGGCCCACCTATCAGGTGGGTGATCTGTATTGGGGCAAGGTCTTTTCCTACTGCTTCTGGCCGTGCATGGTGTGCCCGGATCCGTATGGACAGATTGTGGGCAACCTTCCAACCCATCCACAGCGCACATCCACGGACAACGCGCCCGTGCCCATCCAGGTGCATGTGCGCTTCTTTGCCGATAACGGGCGCCGCAACTGGATCAAGCCCGAGAACCTGCTGACCTTTGCCGGCCTCAAGGCATTCGAGGATCAACGCGAGGAGGTGCGTATCAAGCATGGCAACAGGAGCGGCAAGTACCGAACGATGGTGCCCAAGCGCACGAAACTTGAGGTCTGGCAGCAGGCCATCGATGAAGCCCAACTAGTTGCTCAGGTGCCCTATTCCGATCGACTGGAGAAGTTCTATAAGATCTATGAGAGCGTTGTGTAAGTACAGACCAAAGAGAGAGAGAGAGAGAGACCTAGAGATCAAAGCTAATAAGTGTCCTTTTTCGCCATTCGTCTATTTCAGAACCCTTAACAAACAGAAACGGAAACGTACCAACTCCATGGCGCAGGACACTTCGGATGTGGGTAGCAGCCTGTACGACTCCACGGACAACTTGCACTCCAAACCGCCCCTTCAGTTGTTGAGCGTGAAGCGAGAGCGCTCGGAGACGCCGACTAGTCCGGCCTTTTCGCCCGTCAAGAAGAGCCAGATGCGAACCAAGCGGCGAAAGCTGAGCAAAGGAGCTGAGGCGGAGACTGGCGGCGACACCACACCATCCCAGGTTGGGCTAAGCGCCGAGAAGAATGCCACTCCTCAGAGTGCGGCGAGCGGCATCTATGAAAATGCCGAATTTCGTCAGCTATTCGATGCCGTCAAGGAATATGTGATGGTCCATCGGCACGACGAGAAAGTGGAAAAGGTTCTTCGGGCCGTTGTGGGCAATATCTGGTCACTGAAGCAGCTCCAATTGCGCGAACTAGAGCGAGAGTTGGCTTGCGGGGAAATCGATCGGCCTCAGGAGCTTGGCTCGGCAGTCGTTGATCGGGAACGCGGCTCCGGCACCACACAGCGGCTATCCAATCGCCTGAAAACGTTGGTGGAGCGACGAAGCCGTACGCCAGTTGTTACGCCCAGTGGTACGCCGACATTCATCACCACTAGTGGTGCGGCGATGGCAACGGATGGGCATCTCTCAGAAATTTCCAAGCCCAAAAAGCCAGTGAATCGGCCCATCGACGAGGTTGTCGACGATATATTCCAGCTGGACAGCAAGTACCTCTTCCGGGGCCTCAACCGTGGCTCCGTCTGTAAATATTGCTTCAAACCCGGCTCAAATCTGGTGCAGTGCTCGCGGACCTGCCACAGCTGGATGCATGCCGATTGCCTGGAGAGCAAGAATAATGGACTGCCCATAAGCAAAAAGGACGGAACGAAGCTAAAAGCGTTGGAAGGTGCATTCTCATCCACCTCGCCGTCGCCCGTTCCCGAAGCTGAACACATAACTGGCGACGCTCCAGATGCGTTAGCCACTATCGCTACCCCTCCGCCTACCATTGAGGTGATCTGCCATGAGTGCAATATTGATGAAGAAGCAACCTGCTGCATTTGTCGGCAAGTCTTGCCGCCCAGTTACCCCTCACCGTCACCCGGCTCGCCGCTGAAGGAGCCAAGCGAAGCAAAGGCACCCCAACCAGTGGACGGGACGATGATAATGTGTGGCCAAAATCTGTGCGGCAGGCAGTACCATGCCGGATGCTGCAAATACTGGCCACAGGCGATCGTCAGCAGCTCCCTAACACGCTGTCCCCTGCACGTGTGCCACACGTGCGTCTCGGACAATCCTCGTAAATTCTTGCCGGTGGGCAGCTCGAAACTAACCCGATGCGTTAAATGTCCAGCCTCGTATCATCAGGACTCGCGCTGCATACCCGCCGGCAGTCGCATGCTGACCACCACGAGCCTCATCTGCCCCCGACACAATGTGGCCAAGACCGATGCCCATTTGAATGTGCTGTGGTGTTTCATATGCGTCAAGGGCGGGGAGCTGTTGTGCTGCGAGACCTGTCCCATTGCCGTGCACTCTGGCTGTCGCGATATACCGATCGAAAAGCATGAGAACTACATCTGCGAGGAGTGCGAGAGTGGACGGTTGCCGCTCTATGGCGAGATCGTCTGGGCAAAGTTTAACAACTTTCGATGGTGGCCGGCCATAATTCTGCCACCCACCGAGATACCCAACAACATTCTAAAGAAGGCGCATGGCGAAAGTGAGTTTGTGGTGCGATTCTTTGGCACACACGATCACGGCTGGATACCACGTCGACGTGTCTATCTGTATATCGAGGGCGATAATGGGGAGAAGCTGAAGCCCAAGTCTCAGCTGCACAGGAAATTCTATAATGGTATAGAGGAGGCCACGCGCTTTCTGAAAATCACCAAGGCCAGGCGCCTTGAGCAGATGGTGGCACGCGGCAACAAGATAAATCCACCACCATATGTGAAAATCAAGATCAATAAGGCAGTGCCGCCCGTGAAGTTCGTGACCAATCCGGAGGAGCATAGCACATGTGATTGCCGGCCCGAGGATGAGCATCCGTGCGGCGCGAACTCCAACTGCCTCAATCGGATGCTGTTCAACGAGTGCCATCCGGAGTACTGCCTTTGCGGCGACCGATGCGAGAATCGTATGTTTGAGACCCGCAAATCGCCGCGCATGGATGTGGTCTATATGAATGACCGGGGTTTCGGACTGGTCTGTCGTGAGCCCATCGCTGAGGGCGATTTCGTCATCGAGTATGTGGGCGAGGTTATTAATCAGGAGGAGTTCCAGCGGCGCATGCTCGAGAAGCAGACGGATCGGCACGAGAACTTTTACTTCCTTGGTGTTGAGAAGGACTTCATCATCGATGCCGGCCCAAAAGGAAATCTGGCACGGTTCATGAATCATTCGTGCGAGCCCAACTGCACAACACAGAAATGGACTGTCAACTGCAACCATCGTGTGGGACTCTTTGCCATTAAAGACATTCCAGCGGTAGGCATTACAATTAAACGCCAAAAATGTATTCAAGCTAATTACAATCATTCATTTGGCCATGCAGGAAACGGAGCTGACGTTCAACTATCTGTGGGATGATCTGCTGAATGACAAAAAGAAAGCCTGCCACTGTGGCTCGGAACGTTGCTCTGGGGAGATAGGCGGCAAGCTCAAAGATAAGGTAAAGTATATTATGGCTTTTGTTTTAGTTCATTCTAACCTATTTAGACTCAATCTTCGCAGACATCCAATTTAAAGCTGAAGCAACAGCAACGAAGCAAAAGCGCTGCCATTCGCATTCATGTACCTCCGGCCAAAAGGGCAAAGAAGTCTTTACCCAAAGTCAAGCACGTGAGCGCCGACGATGAGCCACAAGAGGCTAAAAAGGAGCAGTAAAACGGAAAGAAAAACGAGGAAGAGCGTATTTTTTATATTTTTTTTGCTTTGTTTTTAGCAATGTCCCATTGCTTTTATTGCTGGATCCCAATTGATTATGAAGATATATATATTATACTATTTTTTATTACGCGCATATTTATTCCTCACATGTTACGTTTATCGAGATATCAGATCAGACAATTGTTCAAACAGTACAGTAAGCACACGCTTCAATTGGTTATCATTTCAAAATAAAACACGGATGTGTAATGTTTTTTAAGTGTTCTATTTGTCTAAAATATATATAAAATTAAAAAGGTTTAATCAATCAGTTCAGTATAGTGTAGATTAATTTCTGTTCAATTTTTTTGTTTCCTTTTATGCATGTAAAATTATGTAAATGAATTTGTTCATATATAGATTTCGTTGGTTGTTTTGTCGCTTAGCTACGGTTTAAAGCTGAGCACTTTGGCATACATACATCATACATACATATAGATATATATATATATATATGGTATAACTCTCGTATGACTATAAAACTAGACATATTTTAGTCGTAAGATCCTAGGAGTATGCACTTTAATCTTAAGTGGGGATATACATACATACACTATACACACCACACCACACCACACACACGGTGGCAGCAAAAGAGACGTCGAGCGAGTCGAGTGTCAAAAAATAAATCAAAACCATTTGGTTGTTAGGGTTTGATCTTAAAGTAGCCATCATTTAATTTTGGCACAATGGCGTCTATCTTCTTGACAATCGTATTGAGACTCTCCCGAGACATTTCGTACAGTGTGTTGAGCGAGATCAGGCGCATACCCTGCTGGTTGCACACCTCAATCACAGACCATTTCTCTAAAAGCTTCAGACAGTTGCGCACGGAATCCGTTGATATGCTTTCAGCTGAAATTGAAACCGATTTAGACATTCCATAGATCATAGCAATACTGGTTCAGTATATATAAACTCACCATAGATGCAGCTTCCGCGCTTCACTTTGGCGGATAATTCGTAGATCACAAAGTTAATAAACTCGGACTCGAGCATGGAGTTGCGGTGAAGTATCTGCAGGGCTTGGGCCACCGTCAGGTATGTGCTGGCAAAGGGAGCCAGCACCTCGCAGATGTTGCGCTGCTGCTGAAGTGTGTCGCTACAGTAGAGCAGCTGGGCACCCTCATCATCATTTTCGTTGTTATCCCCACTGAGGTAGTCATCATCGTCCAGGTCCAAATGTTGTGCAAGTCTCCTAGCTCTATGGCTGTCTTCAAAATGTACGTCCTTGTCCTAAAAAAGAAGAACGTACACATATGTATGTAAATAAGTGCTAGACGTCACGGGATATTTATCCTATCTATCGGTACCGTACCTCTTCTGGCAATCGAAGGTAGTCACGGAACAACAGATTGTCCAGATGTTTCTCCAACAAGTGCTCCAATACTTGTGTGGGCTTGTTCAGTATAAACTCATAGCGATAGATCTGACAGTTCTCCAATGCCGCTTCAATCAGCTTCTTGCGAGATACGGCTACCGCAACCGGGGACTCGGACAGCAGCAGAGAATGGAACGTAGTCATCAGTATCGAACTGAGGGCAAAGTGCGGGGCCAGTGCATTCGAGTAGTACGCCAGCTCGATAATGCTCTCCACTGAGTCGATGGCACGAATGAACATGCGACCGTTCTCGTTACGTGTGCGGGTAACCAGACCTACAGAAATCAAGCTTCATATTAAGAGAGACATCTTCAATTGAAGGTCTACAACTAATAGATACATACCTGTGCCAAGCAGCTCACAGGCATAGACCAAGACATGTGAGGATTCGCCCGCGAACCCAATATCCTTGCAGCCAGACAATGAGTTTCGCAAATCATCCAAGGCCGCGGCCAGCAGCTGCTCCTCGGCACCCTGGCGATAGCGGGTGAGCAGCAGAAAGGCCAGCGCGTTTGTGGACATTACAGATGTGGCAGCTGCACAGTCGAAGACTACCTGGCGCGAGATGCTTTCTATGAGATTGCGATGCTCTTCGCACACCACATCGGTGCCATAAAGCGAAGATGTCGATTGGTTGTGCTGCAGGGGTCTGCACACCAAAATAAAATTTAAAAGGTAAAATTAATTCGAAATTAAATCGCATTTGGCAGCGCGTACCTGGCTGCAGGCTTGTAGATCTTGGCATTGCCATCTTCGCGGGCGATTTGGTTAAACGAATTGACCAGCTCGCGTATCGAGTACGGTTCATTGAAGTCAATGCGCATTCGGCCGTACTTGGAGTTGAGTGCCTTCCAGATGCCTGAAATGGCATTTTTGAAGGACTCGGGTATCTTCTTCTCACCCTTTCTGCTCGCGCACAAAGTTGCCATCGACGAGCCGTTCATAGTTGACCGACACGGGCACTAGGAGAGCATCTGGAATGCTGCCGTCCATGAAGGCATTGACAATCACAGAGAGGATGCCGCCCTTCGGCATGCACGGTTTGCCCGTGCGCGTTCGTCCGCCCTCGATAAAAAATTCAACATTGTGGCCCTGCTTAAGTGCATGGGTCAGGTATAGGTGAAGCGCAGCGCGGTAAAGCACATCCTTCTTGCCCTCCACTGGATCGATTTTGCGCTTAATGAAAAAGGCCCCAAGACCACGAAGCAATCCACCAAATACGGGAATCTGCAGGTTATTGCCAGCGGCAACCAGAGGACTGCGTATATCGTTGTTGGTTAATATAAAGGTCACCATTATGTAGTCCAAGTGACTGCGATGCAGGGGCACAAATATCAACGGTGTACCCGGCGAGCGCTCCGATGCGGTTTTAAGCATTTCAATCTGTTTGGTGTTCGTCACGACGCCAGAGAGGAAACATGGCAACAGCTTGTACAGGATCCAAGATGTAAATGCGAGAAGGCCATTATTAAGAGTGGAGCCCATTTCCTTCAGTATGCTGATGGCACGTTGCTCCTGCTTGCGCAAAATTGCCTGATAGGATATACCCTTGGTCTCGTCCTCCTCCGCCTGATCACCGCTAGCGCTGCGCGTGAGCAGTCGATGGCCGTTTTGGGCATAGCGCTGCTCACGCAGCGCCTGTTCAGCGGCTTGTTTAATCGCATGTTTGAGTGCCGGATCGTTGTGAACAATTTCGGTAACCTGCAGCATGCGTGGGATGGGTGTATTTAGGTTATTTATTATTGGTACAAACTGCGGGCGCATTGATCGCGACGCTTACCTGTCGGTATTCGAACTTCTCGCTGCGAAATACCTGAGCGACATAGGGGAAGATTACGCCCCAATCAAAGTATCCATTGAACGGTTTATAGCCAGCATGCGGTGTCAGCTCCAGCATGTTCTCGGTGCCAATGCCATGTGCGACAGAGCTTTGCTTTGTTGGCTCCTGCAACGAGAACGATCAGGGAACAGAACACTGCGGTGATGCAATTGCCATGCGTATATTTGATGTTCGTGAATGAAATGTTACCTCGAACCAGCCACGAGCTTGAAATCCATCCAATGCCATTATAAATATGAGATTCTTTGTTACACACTGCCACTGATATGGATTTTAAGTCAAAATTATAGCATTTCTTGCGCGAATAGCAGCTCCCGGCTTTTTTTTGCAACCAATCGACAGCTTATAGGGTTATCGATTACGACAGGTCTTGTTATTGTCAGAACAGGACCAGGTGGCAACGCAGTGAAAATAAATTCAAATCTGCAGCAAAGTCTTCCTCATTATTTGTAATTCATTGAATGGAAACTCGTTGCGTTGGCTTATCAATGCACTGATAATGCATTTGCGTCACAGTTTTGAGCTGCGGTGGGGTTAAATGATGGATGTGATGGATGGGTGGATGTAACTTACATTCGTTGAACGTAGCGTGACCAGAAGATCGCTGCGAATTGTGTTGATCTTGCCCAAAGACGTGCGATAGCTCAGATTCAAGTTGGGAAACAAGTTGGCGATAATAATGGGTGCCCTGCAAACAGCAAAACGTTATTGTTATTATCAATTATTATATTGCAATCTGCTCGGTCTCCAATTAACCACCGATTGCTTCAAATCAGTAGCTCGCAATTAAATATACAACACCTCTTTCGATTGTTGCAGAGGTCTACAGTCCAACTTTGTTTGAGTTCAATAGCCTATACATTCTTCTATACATGTGTACGTACTTATGTATGTACATACAAATGTGTGAATTAAAGTTAGAATACATTTTAAACTAAGTGCTTGTGGCAGCGCAGCTGATAAGTGTATAGTTGCTCATAAAATATAGCACAGAATTGAACTTTGAGCCGCCATTGTTCCATTGGAATCATCAAAATAAAAAATCACCTGATGCTACTTTGTTTTGATACGAAATATGATAATAAAAATGAACTAATCCAGATAAATGTCGTCTTTGAAATCTACCGCCGAAACAGTGCTACCAGATGATACTACCAGGTGTTAGTTGTGCTGCCACATCATTGCAGATAACTTTTCTTGTATAAAGATTCCGTTAGAATTCTCCACGCCACTGAAAGTTATCTGAAATATAAAATACACCATGTTTCGTGTGCACTGCAACAAGTGCTCGAGACGACGCGATATCGAGCCGGCCATTCCCTTCCAATTGACGCGATGTCATCACATTATCTGCGGCCCCTGCCTAACAGCTTGTGCTGCCGAAAAGAAGTGCCCAATTTGCGGGCGCCCACTGCAGTCAATCGCCATTAGTCGGGACATGCCCATTAGTGTGGCAAACTACTTCCAGGACCCCGCGAAATTTCTCCAGCTCTACAGGAAGATAAGCAAGTTCCAGAGCGAGCAAAGATCATCCGACAACCTTCACTTCTGGCGCAGAGAGCAGCGATATGACGACTTGCAGCTCAAGCTCGACGGCTACACCAAAATGGAGGCTCAGCTGAATCAGCAAACGAAGGTGGAGAAGAAACGCATCGCCGAACTACGCGAGTACATTGCATATCACGAACGTCCGGCGGTGGACAGCTTGGACGGCAGCTTAAGTTCAAGCGAATACATAGCAGCCGGTGGCCACAGCCGTGGCCGTCCCCAAACTCCCTCAGATCACGCTACGACGGACAACACGCTATCGGATGACTTGGTGGAGAGTTTCTGCTTGGACTCGGAAACAGACTTTGTAACAAAGAAATCAAAGCATCATCCAATGTCCACATCGATGAGAAACTCGGGCAGCCAGAGCCAGGACTTTCAAATGTAATTTAAAACAAGTATAGTGTACTCATAGGTCGTTAGTTGGAACTAGTAAAAATTATCATCTCATGTTCTGGAAAATTTCTATGGGATAAGCCAAGTGTTTTATATATGTATGTATATACATATAAATAGTGTGCAGGAATGCTGCGCGCGTACTCGACCTGCCGTGACATTCGATTAAGAATAATGTTTATGGTTCTAAGCCAATTTTAGAAGCCTTTTTATCGCTATCAGCTGCGGTGCTTTACAGGGCAAATTCTCAAACGAGATACGCTATGGGGGGCGAATACGAGATAGCTTTAGTGTCCGATTAAACATTCAGCAACGTAAATAATAATACGAATAATTCCAATTCCTAATCAGATAATTGAGTGCTAATTTTACAGTCCATAATCTACACACAAATGTATGGACAAACCTCTTTTTAATTAAGAGAATGGTTGCCAAGAGTGTTCCGCAAGCGTTCGAACGGGTTGTTGTTATCACGGCAATTGCTGCAACAAAGACGAGGGCAGGGCTCCTCGGGAAGCAGGAAAAAATTGATATGACAGGTAAAATCAAATCGCGATGACCCCCAGAGCAGCCTCACAGCCTCCCTCCTTCGCCTAATCCCGCAACCGGCGGATTGTTGGCACGTGGGGTGATAAGCGGAAATTTACATTTGTGGCTCGCGCGATATAAAATATACAGCCGAAGGGCTAGGCGATGTGAGTCAGACGGTGCGGCAACCACCTGCGCGGCGACAATATAAACAACATGCCCATTAAGCATGCATTGGATAGGGCCCCCGCCCCCCGCTCTCGTCTATAAATAACGGCGCTTCTTCTGCCTAGGCCACCTGCGTCACGGAGCAAATTACTTGAACTTGGCAGAAGAGGAACGGAACGGAACATACATACATAGTACATACAGTAGGTACGGTAGGTTCTAATAGTAGGATTTATTTGGCTTCCATCCACAGCCCACAAACACTACACTCACCTCGTTTTCGCAAACACATAGTAGATGATGAGTGCAACTGATGCAATCTCTATGCCGCCGAGCAAAGAAATCTCAGCGACACGCTGGGCAAAGTTCAAGACAGTCGATAGCATGGTTATGCTGCTTGCCTTGTCTTGCCTTCGTGTGGCTTCAACACTATTTGTATTCAATCAGCCGCCGGCCAAGTGATCGGAAGTGCGTGGTATCTCTCAGTGGTGTTGATGTCCAGTGTCCGGAGATGTCAGACAGCGTCCCTTTCTAGTTGATTATCGCCCAATGGCGGTCGGGTGGAAAATATGTATAGATGATGCCGTACCGTACCGATTGCTGCTGAACAAACAATAACAAAACGGCGCACATTGAGTGTTGTTCCAGCGACGACGCTCTCTTCTGACTCTCTCCCGCTCTCGCTGATGCTTGCTGATAGCTCCTCTCCTCTCTACGTTCGTATTGTTGGTGGGGGTTGTATTATTGCGTTCTACTCGAAATATAACCAGACATCGCCCGTCGTGTCGCGACCCGCCATTCGGCGTTGACTGTGTTGTGCATAAAAAAATATCGTATGATTCTTTTCCTTATGCCGATTTTGGCTTAATTTCCCCGGCACGAGATGAGACGATGACAGATAGAAACCACTTTTTGGCTAGCAGCATCCACTAAACCGCAGCGCAAAACTTATTGTTGGAACAGCTGAACTTGTGCAGTCTTTTAAACCGGTTTTCACTCTGCTAGTCGCTCTACTCGAGTGTGTACTTTTCTCGCAGTTTCGTAGTTAATTGAATCAAATTCGCGTCCTTTCTTCTGCCTTTGTGCTGAGGACAGTGCTTTATGCGCGACAGACGAGCGTCGGACCGAGCGGTTCGAGTGTACAGAGTGGAATAAAAGCGGCCGTCCACGGTTGACGCTTAATTAAATGCCAATTAACGTGTGACAGCAAGTATGTATGCGCCCTGCACATGCCACATACATATATGACGAGTACTTTTACTTATATACGACGACCAAGATCGGCGCTGCACGAAGATAACGACAGCCGATTCCGTGGCATCCCGAAGGCGGCTGCTGCTGCTGGCGTTATCACAGAGAGGCGAGCGACAGGGCTGATAACAGGGCTTCTCTCAATCAAAGACAGAGAGAGTGAGAGAGTGGAGCACAGCAAAATGACCAACAGTAAATACTTAGAGCCTAAGACTAAATTGTTTAATCAGTAATTACTTTCGCACTGTATTATGAATAAAATTCATACAACTTTTGTTATTTATTATATAAAAAGAGTGTGTGTCTGCATTACTTGGGGAAAGTAAGTTTACTTCTTGGCCGCTGGCTTCTTGGCGGTGACCTTCTTCTTGCGGGCAGCCAGGAGCTTGGCGCGGTTGGCGGCAGCCTTTGTGGCGACATTGGCGAAGTGCGACTTGGCCAGCTCGACGTTCTGCTTCTTGGCCTTGGCCAGAACCTTGGCGACGGTGCGCTTCTCGGCAGCCAAAGCGGCACGGCGCTTCAACACCTCGGCGTATGGGTTCAACTTGATCAGCTGACGCACGTTGGTCAATGGGTTCAGGCGGCGGACGCTGCGGAACACGCGCTTGCGGGGATCGCGCAGAACTTTGCGGATCTCCTCCGACTTCAGCAGACGGGACAAGTCAGTGTTGGCCATCTTGGGCTGGGGCAGATTGTAGCCCTTCTTCAAGGTGGCTGGCTTCTTCCAGGTGCCGAAAAGATCGTTCAGGCGCGAGAAAGCAGACTCGGTCCAGATGACAAAGCGACCGACATGACCGCCTGGGGCGAGCTTCAGCAGATTCAGCTTGTCGACATTGATGGTCTCGATGCCGGGGATGTTGCGGAATGCCTTGCGCAGACCCTCGTCCTTGTGGTAGACAACCAGGGGACCACGGCGGGCAACGCGACGACGATCGCGCATGGTACCACGGCCAGCACGGAAGCGCTGCGACTTGTACACCTGTTGAAGGGCACATAGACAAGAAAATTAGTTTCCAGATTTCCATCTGTTAACCTTCTGCATGGCAAAAGTACATGCTTAAGATGGGCTGTGGCTCTCCACTGCAAACGGTTGCAACTTTGAATCAGGTTACACTCGTAACGCCTAGGAGAGCAGTTATTCTGGCAACGCACCAATGCTCCAAGGAGCACGTAAACAGACTGACAATCAGTCACTACTCGTCAGTTGTTTACACGTTGCTGGATTCGATTGGATTAGTTTCGTTTGACTCTGTTACCCACCTTTTGGATGTCAGCCCAGATCTTCAGGCGACGCAGGAAGATGACAGCCTGCTTGGTCTTCTGCAGCTTCTGGACCTCGTCGGAGACAACCAATGGGAACTCGGAAACACCGTCGATGACATGACCCTTGGACTGCACGAGGGCGGGCACGCCGGAGGCAGCGATGGCCGACACCAGAGCGTAGCGGCGCTGGTTGACATTCACCTTGCGGTGCCAGCGACGGAAGGTCTTGGTGGGGGCGAACATGCGTCCACCACGGCACATGTTGCCGAAGGCACCCTGGCCGGAACGGTGAGTACCACCACCACGGACACGGGGAATACGTGCGACGGCACGGCCGGTACCCCAGGACTCGGCAGAGGTTTGGTGACCTGATCAAAAACAAAAACATCAATTATTTTCCATGTTTACGTCCAGCATTCCGGGGGGGCAGCCACTTACCAGCAAGCTCGCTCACGGCGTACGGCTGGCGGTTGTTGCGGCGCAGCAGCTGGTGCACCTCGTTGACCACATCCGGACGGATGGGTGCCTTGAACACCGCTGGCAGGCAGATGTTCTTCTCCTTGGCAGCCTCATTCTTTTCCGTGTACACGGAGACCAATGGCCTGGCGTTGCCTAAGCTCTGTAAACAAAAACCAAAAGCGTCCGTTTAAACGTGTCCAAAACCATAACATGGCACTGGCCGCCGCACACCACACACTAAACTACACACAACACGTGGAGGTTAGGCTGAATTTCACGACACATTTTCACTGTTTTCGCATTGTTTTGTGTGTAAAACCCACGTTAATGAAGCTGGCGGCGGCCCACGCACTCATGTTGCACACTTTCTCACCATGTTTGTTGATTTTTAAGCCCAATAAATGGTATTAAAGATTCTGCAAACGCAGATACCGTCCTCTTTTTATTAAGAAGAACGAAGAAAGAAAGAGAGCTGCCGGAAATGGACGAAAAGTGCTGGAAAACGCGGTTTTCACAGCGTTGCAATATTAAACTGTCAAAAAACATCGGGAGTACTATCGACCATCTCGATGTTTTAATACAATTGATACGATATTTTTGAAAACGCTTGGGCGGTCACATTAATTACAGTATATTGCGCAGATAAATTCGCGGTCACACTGTTCGCTCTCATAAAATATAATAAAACGAGCGTCAAAAAATGATTAAAAATGGCCAAAAATAAGTCGACGGTGTACCTAGGATACGAAGATGAGGAAGTTACAATTAAGCAGGAGCAATTATTGAATAGCAGCACCAACAAAATTGGTGGTCTGCCCGTAAGTAGCTCACATCTCACATGCAAATGTGGCTGGGGCCAAGAGCGTTGATAATTAAAATTGATTTTTACACCAGGACTGGCCCAGGCATGAGGTTACGGTGCCAGCCTGTCCGCTTTGCGGCACGGTACGTCCGTTGATAGTGCAAATGTACGCGCCATTGGATCGATCTCAGTTTCACCGCAGTCTTTATGTGTTTGGGTGTGTGAGCCCCGCCTGTTCGCAAAATCCAAAGAGCTGGGTGTGTGTCCGTACCCAGCACTTGGACAATCAGTTTGATGTGATCTCTGAGCAATCGGTCAAGACGACGGCGTCGCCTGCCAAGCATAAGAAAAAGCCCAAATCTAGTGGATTGCAATCGGTAAACTGGTGCAGTGGAGTGGATGATTGGGGCGACAGTGAGGGCAGCAGCGGTGGAAACGGGCGTAACGATGTCTCGGAAAGAATGGACGAGGCTATGGATCTGACTGCCGACGACGAACAGAATGAGCGGAATGGGAATGTAAGGCTAAATGCTTTGCAGTACGCCAAAGGAGGGATGGAAATGGAGGACTCGGTAAAGCAGGAACAAGTCAAGATTGGTGATGATGAAGACGACGAAGACGAGAGCACGTCTGTGGAAAATGACTTGGTTTGCGGCTTTAATCAGATCGACATGAGCTCGCCGCAGAACGCAGATGAGGATCCGAATGCAAATTGTGCAGCAGCTGCCGCTCCCAGTGCGGATGTTGCTGGCGCAGGTGCAACTGCAACGATTTGTGCCGAGATTGAAGGTCCCGAAAATGATGTCGTCCTGGTCGATACACCAAAAAAGCCGGAACGTGACTTAATTGCTTTGCTTAAGCACACTTCAATACCGGCCACCCTGGGACCCCTCTCCCAGATTAAGGATCTTACCCTAAAGTCATACTTCATTGCCGTGGATGTTGAGAGCAAGGCCAAGGTGGAGGAGTTTGAGAACTATGGCGGCACCTTATCCATGGATCACATACGTGATCTGTATCAGGAGTACAAGCTGAGGGACGACGAATCGGCACATTCCCCAATGGGTGGTGGTGGTGCCTCATCGTCTGGCGAGCCATGTGACGATCATGAATCTTATGAGAAAGCATTGCCCGCCCATGGCGATATTGTTTTTCACAATTTCATAACAACCATTCAACAAAATCCGGGCCAAGTGCTGAGGTAATTTTGTCCCTGAAAACTTGCTCAATATGAATCAATATAATAAGCATGAAATCCCGTACCAGGTATTCCCGAGATGCGTTGCCATTGCTGGTGGCACCGCTCACCGATCCTCTGCCCAAGTGTCAGAACTGCAAGGGCGAAACCATCTGCGAGGTGCAGCTGCTACCCACGCTGATTCCCAAGCTTCGATTCCAGCACAATGGCTGCAATGCACCAATTGAGTACGGCAACGTGCTGGTCTTCACTTGCCTCAAGAGCTGCTGGGACACACCCGACCTGATGCGCTATGAGCACATAGTTGTGCAGTCCGAGTCTTAGATTGACGCAAGTAATTGCGAGCCGGAGAAACCACGCCATGCTGTAGCTGCGCTAATAGTTACAGAGAAAGAACATTTTAAACGCAAACTGCATTCACGTAACCGAAGGGGGAAAGCTAAGCTTCTCAATTGTCCTAGGAAGATTTTATGCTCTAGTTGTTAAGAACGTTGTACGCTTTTAGACATGCCGATGAAAGATAGTTGCTAAAAATATCTCGTTATTTCCACTCTACCCGAAGATGTTTTCAATTTTTCGGGGAGGCACTGCATACTTTTTTTTTTTATTTCCATGCTTACAGGAACGTTTATAGCTTAGACCAATGGTGCATCGGCGTCTAGGTGATAACTCTTTACAGGCGAGAACCACAGCGAAGGATATTTTGTGTCCGTTAGGTCAAACTCGGAGCTAGTGTCCTCCTTGTTGCGTTTCTGCACCAGCGTGTAGTGTGCCCAGACCAACTGGGCACAGCGACGTTTGGGTGAGTGAGTGATACGCAGCTCAATCAGAAACTGTGTGGCATTCGAGTCCTCGTCGAACGGCATGACACTGCCACGTCTCTGGCGCATATGTCCTCCGGTGGTTCCCCTTGACTGTGACTGTGACTTCTGCAGCACCAGCGTTACTGTGTTGCCAAATAGCCGGTAGCGACCACGCATAACATCTGGTCGTAGGTTGTGCAGGTTACGAATCTTGGTGACACCCTGCGATGGCTCGTCGGCGCTGGTCATCATGATAACCTTGCCATCGGGCATAAATCGAATATACCGGTAATATTCCACCAGCTGCACAGGACGATAGAATTGGTCCTGAAAACTGTTTTCGCCCATTCGCAGGTACGTGGTTTTGCTAATGTAACACCCGCTAAAATTAACTCTTTCCCGACGAATAAACATGTCGCGCCACGAGTAGTAGACGGTTGAATTCTCGGCATCTTGGGCATCTAAAGTACCAATGCTGTGGCCCCAAACTCTGCAAGCAAATCGATAATCAGATAATACAATTAATATGCAGGGAGAGGGACCTACTTTGCACATGCCAGTCGCCAGAGCTCCTCCTCGCGTGCGTACACATAGAAACCTTTGCAGACAGCGGCGCATTGATCCAGTGAGCGCATATCCAACTGGGAGGATACCACCCAGCGCAGAATGCGCATCACAATTTCGGGCGGTAAATCAGATATGTGCAGTCCTGTGGAGAGGACACCGGGATCCCTGCTGGATGCTATTAACTTGCCGTTGTACACATTCTCTTGACGTAGATCATGCTGGAACTTTTCGTATAGGTTGTCAATCAACTGGTCGCCGCCCTCTATCCCTTCGGGCTGCGGCTGCCCAAGATCAAGTTGCTTGGAAAAGTCGCTGGCCAGGTTATGATACTTTTTGTTGACTTCGTTCTTTAGTTTTTGTTGCTCATAGAATTTGAACTCAATGTCAGGTACAATCTGCGTGGCTTTGCGATAGAAAGGTATTGCGTCGTAGACCTTTCCTCTTTGCTCCAGCTGTACGGCCGTGCGGTACAGACTCTCCGCTTTGGCCTGCAATATATCAGCCTCACTGGCATGGCCAGGGCCAGTTGACCCACCGGTGTCCACCTGTGTGTGCTCCGCCTGCACTTGTAGCTCCCGCTGCCAGCTTTCGCGAAACTCATCCAGAGCACTTACCCCCTGACCTTGAGCCTCTGTGTCTGAATCCACGTCCGACATTGTTGCAGACACTAAGCAGAAAATGAAAATAAGTTAAAAATAAATCGCCAGTTTATTTTGACGCAATTTCTAACCTGAAATAACTTTAGTATTTGTTCCTGGACCTTTTAGAAGATGAAACCGAGTAAAAGATGTGGGCGAGAACTGTATTTATAATGAAGGGCCGCGCGTATTGCTGATAGTGGCCGCGGGTTTCACCCCAGAATCTTGTAGTTTTTGACCGGGTGCAACATGTGGCCATTGGTAAGACCCCTTAGATTAAATTTATTCAGATAAAACAGTAACGTAACTGTATCTGAAAAATATGTTGTTTTTCGGTGGACTTAGTGACTGCAAAACCATCGATGGCACTATCGACACCATCTGTGGGATCGATCAATCGATGGGTTTTGTCCATCGATATCATACATCGATCGAATTAGGCGCACTTAATCACCTTACAGGAGCTCAACAATCAACAACAACGAACAAATAATAATATGCAACACGCAGTAGGCTTTTTTTTTTAGTAATTTAAACCTTTTTCGTTGGAAATGTTGATGTATCGATGGTAGAATGTAGGAATGAGAAAATATTACAAACGTTCTATCGATATCGATAGACGAAACAGCTGGATTCAACGAGGTTTGTTATTGTCCAGCTGAACGAATTTTAAAAAAAAAAAACATGTCTGCGGACTACGCTCATCTGTGCTCTGCGATTGTGGAGCAGTGCTTCGGAAAAGTGTCGCAGTCAGTGACTGATTGCTTGTTCTCAGCAACCACGCGTACATTGTCGCAAATCGCGAACGCCACAAAGTTTTCCCGGAAGGAGGTGGGACTAGCACTGTCGGTGCTAATCAAGTTTCGTTTGGTGAACTTCGAAGCATCCAAGCTGAATCCATTTGTGCCAGAATATTCTCTTAGGCGGCCAGATATTCTCTGTCTGCTGCGTTACCCGCGGTAAGCTATAGCCATCCAAAACATAATTAGAAAGAAAACATAACGAGAATTGCTTTCAGGTACATTCATATGGTGCAAACAAAGTATGGAAATGTTGGTGCATCTATTGCAGAGGAGCTGATCAACGCGGGCTCGGATACAGCGAGCGCTATACTGATCAAGTGCCTATCAGAAGGAGAAACCAAGGCGGATGGTGCCGAATCCCACCGTAACACCTTTCTTCAAATGATAACCGATCACTATATCATAAAGAGGCCGGAGCTTATATTGTCGGAAGAGCAGGATGAGGTGCTGCCGAAATTCGAGAGCAACGAGTGTGACTATTTCAGGCATCCCAACGTTGATCTTCAGCTGATAGAGAAGATACGAAAAGGCGAAGCAACATTGGCAGAGGCCGGCGACAGTGCCATGATCTGGAACATCAACTATGACCGATTCCATCAGGACTTTCGGGACTCCATCATGATAGACTCCATTGAACGCAAGCTGGGGGAAAATGCTTCCGAGTGCTTTCGTTTCATATTGAAGATAATGTACAAAACAACGGATCCCTGGCAGCGCGTGGGTATAGAGACTCTTATTGGATCATGGTACAGAGTAAAAATCTGTTTCTTCTTTGCTCCCCCACAGAAACTTTCCAACCAAATCACTTTTGTGGATATTAAACAGACAATCGAGAAGAAATCGAACAATTTGGATCTTATGAAGCACTTGGATCAGTACATAAGCTTATTAAGTAATAACCAATCAACCAGGGAGGGAGAGGCCGATTTGTGTACCATATTTTGTTTAATCATTTTAGCTGATGACTCCCTCGGTTTCCTTCGAAGAGTTGGTGACATGGGTGGCGGTCTGTATGTTGTGGATATGGAGCACGCATTTCAATCGCTTGCTTTTGCGTGCATTGAGTCTGTGATTACAGAGCGTTTTGGTTCGAAGGCGGCACGCATATTTCGTGTGATACGCTTCAAGAAATTTATAGAACAAGAGGATTTACAGAAAGAGGCCATGATTCCGGCCAAGGAGGCCAAATCACTGGCCTACAATTTGTTCCAAGAACAGTTTATACACGTGAAGGCGATCAAGAAAGCTGGTGGCGGTGGCAATGGTCTGGCGAAGTCGTTTTATCTCTTTCAGATCAAGGAAAAGGATGTAAGACAATTTAGACACTTTCACTGATTCAGAAAGTGTTCATATATATTATTTTCTCATTGCAGTCTGCGAGGATGTTACTGGACATTTGCTACAAGTCCCTCTACAACACCATCGAGCGTTCCAATTTTGAGAAAAATGAGCACAAGGGTCTTATAGAAAAATCCCAAAGGCTGGACAGCATTGTGGAGACCATGAAGGAACGGGGAGAATCTGACGAATACATAGCTGAGGTAAATCCAGGCTTTTACCAAACAACAATGATGTCTTACGTGTTCTCCTTGTATTTCAGATTGTGGAGACATTCACACCACCCGAAGTTGAGATCCTTAATAAAGTTAAACATCGCATAAAGACCTTGTCGAAGGCTGAACTGACCATGGACCAAACCATCTTCCTCCTGCAAATGTATCAGCATCATTGTACAATTTTACCAACGGGCATTGGCAAATATAAATAACAATCGAAGAGCAAACGAAGAATACGATTATTCGAATCATCTTATTTATTGAAAAATGCTAAATTTGTATTCAACTTCTGGGATCTCCTGTTTTAGGTAAATATGGGGGGAATCATGTTTATTAAAACACACAAAAATGCGATTGAACTGACTGCACGATTAATCACAGGTTATTTAAATAGAATATGCTTAAAGAGGTGTATTATTCCGGCGTAATTACGCTACGCTTTCGATGCACGATTCGCTGTTCCCGGTGGGCCTTTTGCAATTTAATGAAGTGCTGTTGCAGAGCATCAAAATCGATTCCGCTTTTGTATTCCAGCGAGCTTTGCTCATCGCTAAGGCAGACACAAAAAACACTGATGTAAGTAGCTATAAGTCGGAGTAAATACAATCATCTTACATGCGATCCTGGCCCCAATAGTTGGGCACGCACTGAAGACGATTGCGGAGAGTGTCGAAGGCCTCCGTTTGCGGCAGCAACATGAGAATCCCAAACAGAGCGTGTGCCAAATATTGTGCATCGGCGCCATTGTTCGCTTTCGATACCAGCGTCAGCCGCAGCGGTGCAAATATTGGCGATTCGATCAGCTGCACAAGTTTATCCAGTTCGTTCAGCAGTTCCAGAGTCACTTCAACGTCAGCACTTGAGTGGAGAAGTAAATGGTAAGCGAAAGGGTTGTACGGATATGCCGAAATTACCTACAATAATACGACTAGCTGAGAGACATGTTGATAGCTTTGCGCCAGTAAGCACAGCGACAGGGTGGAGACCGGGCAGTGGGCCCAGCTCTTGTAGAGACATTGAAACAGATCGGCAGACTTTTCGTTGGAAATGTTTCGCAAGCTGGTACGCAACTCAACAGCTCCGTGGAGGTCAATAGTATGATATTCAGCAGGCGCACCACAGTGGAGGCAAACTTCAAATTGGGCACTTCCTCTGCAATGATCTCGGCAAATGTGCGGTAGATGTATTCAGCATTCAGCAGCACACACAGATTTCTGTTGGATGGGCAAACCAGTTAATTTATTTGCATATTTCTGACAAGAATAAATGAATTTACCTTATGATCAGGCTAGCTCTGTTTTCCAAAATCAGTTTCTCTTCGCTAAAGAGGTTCAAAAGGCTAAGTAAAAACTTGCGATAATGTGTCTTGTTAAAGTCATTTAGATCTACAAAAAATAATTCGTAACTTGCATTATTTAGGGCTTGATTTTCTGCTCACCCCTTGTGTCCTGCGAGTTGACAATCTCCGCCAGAACGGACAGACTTTGGAGCACCACCTCATCAGAGTTGTCGGCGAGCGTGGATAGGAGATTGTTATTCAAATTGCTGGCATGCATAGACATTTCATTGGGAAAATTGGTAAACAAATGATGCATCCATTTCAGCACAGCGATCTTTGTATGCATGGAATTATGCGTGAGATACTGCGACAGCACATCCATAATGGAGCGCAAGTCAATCTTGGCAATGGTCTGCGTTTTGAGCTCCTTGGTGGAAACGAGTCGCATCATCGAGCTGTTCACAGACACGGCACACTCCTTTATGCCTAACCAAAAGAATATACGGCTGTAATTTAATACAGTTTAACCTTTCGCACTGCCAAATCTGATGTGTCTTACTGCGTTTGGATTCCACATTATATTCGAGGCAGGGCAGAATGGCGGTGAATATACCGCCAGCAAATGGCAATACATTTGGGCCAAATATTTGCACGAATTCCCGAATCCAGGTGATGGCAATCGACTTGATCAGCTCGTTGGGCGACTGGGCATGGGTGATCAGCGTATTAATGGTGTCCTCCATCCGCACCGAGGACGAGTCGTTGCGTATCGACTTTAGAAACTGGCTGATTGTCGTCTCGCACATGCGCTGTATTTCGGGTGTGTTATCCTCGAGCATGACGAACAGGCCATCCAGGATCTCCGTGAGATAGTTGACCATGTTGATATCTGGGACTGCATTTAAGATCGATATCCATGAGATTACATATTGGCGTCCAAACGCATCCTTAACGTAGATATGCTCTCTGAGCAGTGGAATGAAAGCCTCCAGGTTGAAGGTCTGTGAGGATTCTGTAACAATATCCTTTATAGAAGGAAAGTTGTGACCTTATTCTGCGACCATTAAATAAATGTAATCCAAGCTTACCTTTAGCAAACGGTCCAGTAGTTCGCTGCCATCCTTCACCATTTGATCAGAGTCAGTGACTAGCCTGGAAAGTGCACCAAATAGCTCTGGAAAAAAGGGTATAATAGCGGATCGGGCCACCTTGACCACATTGTACAGCGATTCACAGGCAAAATAACGCACGCGCAAATCTGGATCGGAAAGGCAATTCAGTATGGGCGTCACAAGTTCATTGACGTACTTATCCGAGTCCTGGCATCGAGAAAACAACACACGGTTTTGTATCTCAGTTAAAATTTATGTACATATTTGTTGTGTGCATTCCTGACACATACCTTTCCCAGCCCTAAGCCAGTTGCTGCCAGTCCGATAAGAGCCCCTTTCCGCCGATTCGCGTCCCGTGATGTGGCATAGTCATTAGAGAGAACTTCAATTAGTTTACGAATCTGCCCCGAGTTGTTCTTGTGGTTGAATTCCGTCACCATTCTTCATGATGGAAGTGCAACAAAATGTTTTGATTAGGAGTGACGAATCTGGTTCGAATCTGTTTGCTTTTTACGTACTTTTCGATCTCTTGCGAGGCCAATTTCCGTTTCTCGTATACCTTGTCGCCCAGCGCCTTGGCGCAGGATTCACTCAACGGTGCATAGGGCGGCTCCATTCTTTAAATTTCTTTCAATAACAAATGAAAATAAATTGTAGGCGGTTGCGAATTTGTGGATGTTATCCAGCTGATTGGGCTGCCCACTCATTTTCCACATCACAAAATGTGCTGCTGGGCGCACATTTTTCCGTTAGATTCCGCTAAAAGATACGTTATGGGTAAGCAAGGCAGTATGAGCGAGAGAAATATATGCTCTTCTTTGGGTTTCGGGAAGTAGCGCAAAGTCAGAGCAACGGCAAAATAAATCAAAAGAGTTTTGCATTTGTTTTAAATATTAATAGAAAATATTTATTTTAGTCGTTTTTACTAACTTAAACATTTAAAATTGGTTGCTAACATAAAACTAACTCAATTCAGTCGCTAATACTCGGAAAGTCTATGTTGGAGATCAACCCAACATCCTTATCACTTTTTAAAACATAAAATGAACTTCAAAAGAATCCATTAATGTAGAAATCTCTATGGCTTCGGGCTCTGATTACGATCGTTAGGAGGGTCCTTAGTCGACCTCCTCGACAGTGGGTCCAGAGTAGCCCCCAAATCCACCGGCCTGCTGGCCACAGTTGGCTCCTGCCGCAGGACCTTGCGCTGCTCCCTGCTGATGCATCTTTGCCATTATCGGGGAACAGTGCTTGGTGAGCTCCTCCATCTTGTGGTCGAACTCCTCCTTCTCGGCGGTGGTGTTCGTGTCCAGCCACTTGATGGCCTCGTCGCACTTCTCCAGGATGGATGCTTTATCGGCCTCGCTCAGTTTATCGGAGCCGGCCTGTTCCACGGCCTGCTTAACGTTGAACACATAGCCCTCCAAGCTGTTGCGGGAGGATATGCGCTGGCGCTGCTTCTCATCCTCGTCGGCGTAGCGCTCTGCCTCGTTCACCATGCGGTCGATATCAGCTTGGGATAGGCGGCCCTTGTCGTTCTGTATGGTAATGTTCTTGGCCTTGCCCGTGCTCATTTCCTTGGCCGTGACGTTGAGGATGCCGTTGGCGTCCAGGTCAAACGTGACTTCGATCTGGGGCACGCCTCGTGGTGCTGGGGGAATTCCCGACAGCTCGAAGGTGCCCAGAGCGTTGTTGTCCTTGGTCAACGCACGCTCGCCCTCGTACACCTGGATGGAGACTCCGGGCTGGTTGTCGGCGTACGTGGAGAAGGTCTTGGTCTGCTTTGAGGGAATGCGGCAGTTGCGCTCGATCAGTTTTGTCATCACTCCGCCAGCAGTCTCTATGCCGAGGGAGAGCGGCGCCACATCCACCAGCAGCACGTCCTGGATCTTGCCGCTTTGGTCGCCACTGAGGATCGCGGCCTGGACAGCAGCCCCGTAGGCCACCGCCTCGTCTGGATTGATGGACAGGTTGAGGCTCTTTCCGTTGAAGAACTGTTGGAGGAGGCTCTGCACTTTCGGAATGCGCGTGGAGCCGCCTACGAGCACGATGTCATGGATCTGGCTCTTGTCCATCTTGGCATCGTTGAGGGCCTTCTCCACCGGCTGCAATGTGTTCCTGAAGAGGTCTGCGCACAGTTCCTCGAAGCGTGCGCGGCTCATCTTGGTGTAGTAGTCGTGGCCCTCGAACAGAGCATCTATCTCAATGGTCGCCTCCGTGCTGGAGGAGAGGGTGCGCTTGGCCCGCTCGGCCGCCGTTCGGAGGCGTCGCAGAGCACGAGGGTTGGTGCGCAGATCCTTCTTGTATTTACGCTTAAACTCATCTGCCAGGTGTGTGACCAGTCGGTTGTCGAAGTCTTCGCCGCCCAGATGGGTGTCTCCGGCAGTGGCCCGCACCTCAAACAGGGATCCCTCGTCGATGGTCAGGATGGACACGTCAAAGGTTCCGCCGCCCAGGTCGAAGATGAGCACATTGCGCTCGCCCTTCAGATTCTTGTCCAGTCCATAGGCTAGCGCGGCCGCCGTCGGCTCATTGACGATTCTGAGCACATTGAGGCCTGCGATGCGGCCAGCATCCTTCGTGGCCTGGCGCTGTGAGTCGTTGAAGTAGGCAGGCACTGTGATGACTGCGTCTGTGATGCTTTCGCCCAGATAAGCCTCGGCCGTCTCCTTCATTTTGACCAGCACCATCGAGCTGATCTCCTCCGGAGAAAAGCGCTTCGGTTCGCCCTTGAACTCAACGCCAATCTTGGGCTTGCCCCGATCGCTTACCACCTTGAACGGCCAGTGCTTGATGTCCTCTGCAATCTTGGGATCGTCGTACTTGCGCCCAATCAGGCGCTTGGCATCGAAAACTGTGTTCATCGGGTTCATTGCCACCTGGTTCTTGGCGGCGTCGCCAATCAGACGCTCCGACTCTGTGAATGCCACATAGCTGGGCGTCGTCCGGTTTCCCTGGTCATTGGCGATAATCTCCACCTTTCCGTGCTGGTAGACACCCACGCAGGAGTACGTGGTGCCCAAGTCGATTCCAATAGCCGGCATTCTGTTTCTGTTTTATATGCGTTTAAGTTGCACTGAAACTTGTATTAATTTCGCTAGTAGTTTGTTCTTCTCAATTGGTATATTTATTTTTTCTTTTGTTCGAATTGAGGAAACTGTTCACTTTGCTTTTTGCAGTTAGTTTTGGTTTTTAGTTTTTTTTTGTTTCGCTGTTGAGATGTTTTCTCTTCGCTTGTTTGGATTGAATTGCTGCGAAGAGAATCTGGCGGCTGTATTTATACCCGGCCGCTCTACCAGCGAAACTTCGAGAGCTCTCTTCTAGAAATATCTTGAATGTTACCCTGAATCGCATGCGTCAGAGCGAGACAACAAGTCTTGGCAGCTGACAGCAAAGAGAGCACAAACAGCTAGTACTCGGAAGAGAGGGTGAATTGTTAACGAAATTTCTCGACTTTTCTCTGTGCCAAAATATCTGTAACTGACCTAACGCAACAAGCGGTTTTATTTTGTCAATCTAGAAATTTCGGATGATTTCTGGAAACAAATTGGTACAAATTTGTGTCCAGGTGAACTTGCTTTAACTTTATTGCACTTTTATTATTGAATCGACGGATTAGTTAAATGAGAATCACTAAGGAAGCTACAAGTAATTTCGGTGGGCTAAATGTATGTTTTTATGTAAGAAACAAGTTTTTAAAGCCACAGTGCTCCCATATATATTAATGCTGTACGTCTTTAAGTTCTTCAAAAAGTAAACAGTAATATGTATATAAACACGATCAGAATTAATTGTTTTAGACATTTATTTAAAATTTATGAGTTTAGTAACAATCGTTGTTGTGCTAATCAAATTGAAAAATCTTGACGCATTTGTCAAGTTTGGAGCGCTGTATGCAGCAAACTCAAGCCTGCTGCATGCAGCGCTACAAAGTGTTCCCTTTGGCTTATTTAAAGCAGAATTGTTTAATTTAAAACGTTTTTTCACAAATTTACTGTAGTTTTTTTAACAATTACAATCGTTCATTCCCATTGGTTCCGTTTGAGATATACGTGCCAGTTCTACACAATTTTCACCCCCTAGCCAGTTATCTGGAGCTTTTCTCCATTTCAAGAATTTGGTCCATAGCTTGGCATATTTATATCCCGTGCATCTGTCCAGTTAAGTGTCACATTCTATTCTATGGCGTTCAATCGCTCTTTGATCTTGGTCTTTCCTTGATCTTTTCTATCGCCGACTGCGCACACACCACATTATAAACCCGAATTTTGATATTGTTTATTGATAATATTTTTAAAATAGTTTAAGCATAAGAACTAAATCCTTCTCCTCTTCAAATTACAATCATTTAATAGACTTTAATTAAAAAAAGAAACTAAGTCTCTAAAATGTTTGTAAGGCTTGTGAGATGTCGGTGATTGACAACTGACTTAATGAGGTGTTCTATTCAAGTGGTGGGGGGTGTATATTTAATCTAGGGGAAATGTCCCTGTTTACCAAACCACCGGATCACTGACCCCGCAGACCATTTATCGCAGACAAAATTTGGTTTCGAATTCAAATTACCAGTAATCGAGTGATTTTATACAGCCAGTATTTTTATTGACAGCAAATTTTCCATCCACTGTAGCTTACAATTGTTTTGAAAATTTTTCAGGAAATTTCTGGACAATTTTAATTTGTTTCCAAACTTCCACTGTAAATACATATGTACATATGTGCATGTATATACAAAATACAGCGCAGCGAAATTACTTGTAGCTTCCTTAGTGATTCTCATTTAACTAACCGTCGATTCAATAATAAAAGTGCAATAAAGTTAAAGCAAGTTCACCTGGACACAAATTTGTACCAATTTGTTTCCAGAAATCATCCGAAATTTCTAGATTGACAAAATAAAACCGCTTGTTGCGTTAGGTCAGTTTACAGATATTTTGGCACAGAGAAAAGTCGAGAAATTTCGTTAACAATTCACCCTCTCTTCCGAGTACTAGCTGTTTTAGCTCTCTTTGCTGTCAGCTGCCAAGACTTGTTGTCTCGCTCTGACGCATGCGATTCAGGGTAACATTCAAGATATTTCTAGAAGAGAGCTCTCGAAGTTTCGCTGGTAGAGCGGCCGGGTATAAATACAGCCGCCAGATTCTCTTCGCAGCAATTCAATCCAAACAAGCGAAGAGAAAACATCTCAACAGCGAAACAAAACAAACTAAAAACCAAAACTAACTGCAAAAAGCAAAGTGAACAGTTTCCTCAATTCGAACAAAAGAAAAAATAAATATACCAATTGAGAAGAACAAACTACTAGCGAAATTAATACAAGTTTCAGTGCAACTTAAACGCATATAAAACAGAAACAGAATGCCGGCTATTGGAATCGACTTGGGCACCACGTACTCCTGCGTGGGTGTCTACCAGCACGGAAAGGTGGAGATTATCGCCAATGACCAGGGAAACCGGACGACGCCCAGCTATGTGGCATTCACAGAGTCGGAGCGTCTGATTGGCGACGCCGCCAAGAACCAGGTGGCAATGAACCCGATGAACACAGTTTTCGATGCCAAGCGCCTGATTGGGCGCAAGTACGACGATCCCAAGATTGCAGAGGACATCAAGCACTGGCCGTTCAAGGTGGTAAGCGATGGGGGCAAGCCCAAGATTGGCGTTGAGTTCAAGGGCGAACCGAAGCGCTTTTCCCCGGAGGAGATCAGCTCGATGGTGCTGGTCAAAATGAAGGAGACGGCCGAGGCTTATCTGGGCGAAAGCATCACAGACGCAGTCATCACAGTGCCTGCCTACTTCAACGACTCACAGCGCCAGGCCACGAAGGATGCTGGCCGCATCGCAGGCCTCAATGTGCTCAGAATCGTCAATGAGCCGACGGCGGCCGCGCTAGCCTATGGACTGGACAAGAATCTGAAGGGCGAGCGCAATGTGCTCATCTTCGACCTGGGCGGCGGAACCTTTGACGTGTCCATCCTGACCATCGACGAGGGATCCCTGTTTGAGGTCCGGGCCACTGCCGGAGACACCCATCTGGGCGGCGAAGACTTCGACAACCGACTGGTCACACACCTGGCAGATGAGTTTAAGCGTAAATACAAGAAGGATCTGCGCACCAACCCTCGTGCTCTGCGACGCCTCCGAACGGCGGCCGAGCGGGCCAAGCGCACCCTCTCCTCCAGCACGGAGGCGACCATTGAGATAGATGCTCTGTTCGAGGGCCACGACTACTACACCAAGATGAGCCGCGCACGCTTCGAGGAACTGTGCGCAGACCTCTTCAGGAACACATTGCAGCCGGTGGAGAAGGCCCTCAACGATGCCAAGATGGACAAGAGCCAGATCCATGACATCGTGCTCGTAGGCGGCTCCACGCGCATTCCGAAAGTGCAGAGCCTCCTCCAACAGTTCTTCAACGGAAAGAGCCTCAACCTGTCCATCAATCCAGACGAGGCGGTGGCCTACGGGGCTGCTGTCCAGGCCGCGATCCTCAGTGGCGACCAAAGCGGCAAGATCCAGGACGTGCTGCTGGTGGATGTGGCGCCGCTCTCCCTCGGCATAGAGACTGCTGGCGGAGTGATGACAAAACTGATCGAGCGCAACTGCCGCATTCCCTCAAAGCAGACCAAGACCTTCTCCACGTACGCCGACAACCAGCCCGGAGTCTCCATCCAGGTGTACGAGGGCGAGCGTGCGTTGACCAAGGACAACAACGCTCTGGGCACCTTCGAGCTGTCGGGAATTCCCCCAGCACCACGGGGCGTGCCCCAGATCGAAGTCACGTTCGACCTGGACGCCAACGGCATCCTCAACGTCACGGCCAAGGAAATGAGCACGGGCAAGGCCAAGAACATTACCATACAGAACGACAAGGGCCGCCTATCCCAAGCTGATATCGACCGCATGGTGAACGAGGCAGAGCGCTACGCCGACGAGGATGAGAAGCAGCGCCAGCGCATATCCTCCCGCAACAGCTTGGAGGGCTATGTGTTCAACGTTAAGCAGGCCGTGGAACAGGCCGGCTCCGATAAACTGAGCGAGGCCGATAAAGCATCCATCCTGGAGAAGTGCGACGAGGCCATCAAGTGGCTGGACACGAACACCACCGCCGAGAAGGAGGAGTTCGACCACAAGATGGAGGAGCTCACCAAGCACTGTTCCCCGATAATGGCAAAGATGCATCAGCAGGGAGCAGCGCAAGGTCCTGCGGCAGGAGCCAACTGTGGCCAGCAGGCCGGTGGATTTGGGGGCTACTCTGGACCCACTGTCGAGGAGGTCGACTAAGGACCCTCCTAACGATCGTAATCAGAGCCCGAAGCCATAGAGATTTCTACATTAATGGATTCTTTTGAAGTTCATTTTATGTTTTAAAAAGTGATAAGGATGTTGGGTTGATCTCCAACATAGACTTTCCGAGTATTAGCGACTGAATTGATTAAGTCTTATGTTAGCAACCAATTTTAAATATTTAAGTTAGAAGTCCAAAATAAATTATTTTTATATTTAAAAAAAAAAATTCAATTAATTTTTTAATGTAAATCAGAATATTGTTTCACAATCGCCACTAATGCTGTTTGACACTGTGGACAAAATTATATTTTCTCGCTTCTTGGCATTGGACTTGTGTGAACAGAATTCAGTTTTATATTTTTGAAAGATGGGCGTTTCCGTTAGAACACAGATTAGTCAAAATATTGACCGGTTATTTACATGGAATGGATATTACATAATAATTAATGCACTCTATCAGAATGAAGGTGTAATCCTATACGAAAAACTGATATTGTTAGCTAGATTAACTTCATTAACTTAAAGTTCCTTCGATGGAAGGGGGAAGTAAAAACAATAAAAAACAATAATCCAATGGGCTATTCAATGATGAGTGGAAACTTCTGCACCTCCTCGCACTCCTTGTTGAAGCTGGTGATATACTGCTGCATTTTAGCCTCGTGCTCGATATCTTTTCGTGATCGTTTTTTTGGCGGCCCTGGGCCTTTTTTCCTTGGAGATTCGATGCTGTTATCACGCGAGTCCGGCTCGTTCTCCCCGTCCTCGTCCTCGGACGATCCACTGTCGATGTACAGCACTTGGACACGTTGCTTTCGCCTGCGCTTGGGTTTCTCCTTCACATAAGTGCGTCTGTGTGCCTGTAAAGAAGGGTTTTGTTTATTACAAAATGTTTTTACAGAGGGAACAAAGCGACAGTTAGAAGCTATTGGATTTATGTGCAAGCTGCTTACTACCGTACAAAGATAAACTTGAATCTTTGCGGCCCTGTTGGCTCAACTGGAACTAATAACGTGTTTCAGTTTGGTTTTAATCTAGCGCCAATCAGGCTCGACGTTGTATACTGTGTGCAACGTCGACGACTTTGGGCGCTTATCTAATGGACTTTCTGGCTAGACCTGACTAAGTATTTCACTTACCTTTTCGTCAAATGTTGTCTCCGGATCGGGTTCGGAATCTCTGAATAATCCAGCCGACTCGTCTGCAGCCAGTGCAGGTTGCCGTTTCGGCGTGTCGGCCAACATGGTGGAGCACAGCACGTCCCGAATGTCGCGCTGTCTTGGCTGCAACTCACCAAAATGATCGACTTCACGGCTCAGCGGAGCGTTGGAAACCTGAGGCAGTTCCTTGCCCGTTGGCCGCAGCTGCTTCAGTCGCTGGAGTTTCTCGTGCAACGTCACATTTTGATTGGCGGCGGATTGAGAGCTACACGCGGCAGATTCATCCTCTTCGATGAATTCCTCAAAGCCAAACAGATTTCCGGATTTACTTGGTTTGTGGACCGTCTTGTTCCTTTTTAGTGGTGAATTGGTGCAGCGTTTGGGACTATTTTCCTGCTCCAAGAACTCATCGAATCCGAAAGACTGAATCGCCGGAGAACTCGCCCTAGCTGGTGTAGTGAGAGTTGCTTTCGTGGGCGTTATTGGTGCTGTTTGGATATTTTTCTTCCACGATGGCAATGTAACCACTTCCAATATGTTGATGTCTTTCAATGGAGCACGTTCCTGCAGCGTCCGGCGTGGATTTGGCAAATGTACAACGTTTTCAATGTTCTCCACATCCTCCTGATCATTGAATTTTGTCAGCGTCTTATTTGCACTAGCTGGCGGCGGCATATTTTCCTCGTTCGAATCGTTTACATTCGATCCCAGACTGTGCTCATTCAGGGCCGGACAAATTGACTCATCGTTGACTGGATTCTGTTCGACTGGTTCCTCTTCCTCTGGCACTGCTTCTGCTGCTTCGTCTGGCACATAGACATGCTGGCGGCGTTGAATATGATCGCTGGAATACGATGGCAGCTGGGATGTATTGAAACCGAATACAAATGTATTCGGCATGGCTGATTCGTCAGAAACTCGCCAGGGTGAGGCCCCTCCATCACCTGAAGGACTGGACAGCACAGTCTGTCGGGGAATTGGGGAAATCGCCGATGCCGTGACATTGTTGTTTGGGCTCTTACGACTCAGCGGTGTGCTCACGAATTTGCGCGCCATATTCACCAGTTGGCGGCGTCTCTCAATTGAGTTTTGTGGATCGTGTGCCTTGGTTTCATTAAGCAATACTGAACGTGCCAAATGACTGTAGGCGCCTTCGACTACGGATGTGTTGGGGTGGTGCATTGATGCCTTTCGTTGGACAGATAAGCGTGCCTGTGGAGGGCTATGCACCCTCACTGATACTTGAAATGGTCCAGCGTTGGGTGCTTCAACATCACTGCTATCCTCATCATTGTCGGGCTCGAGAATCGGCGACAAGGCCGCCGTCATAGGCATATGTTTCTCTATCGGAGTCTCCTGCGGCTTTGCATTTTCCAAATTTTTTAGAGAGCATTGCCTTCTTTTCCCCACTGGCCTAACCTTCTTGATGGGCTTGGCGCGTTGTCTGCCATCCTTTTTGGAGCGCACCATTAGGCACGCCCTCCCGGCCTTTACCATTTTCTTGATTATATCAGCAGCAGGATCCTCGCGATTTGTATCATCTTCAATCTGAGATTGAGAGAGGAACTCATAGACATTGCGCGTGACGGAAGACCGTGATCGTGGCGCTGGCTGATCTCTGTGGAAGAACCGTTTCTCTCGCTCACCCTGCGTCGTTGTACTTTGCGCGGATGTTGTCGTCTCCGCTGGCCGAGCCAGGGGGAGTCTTTTGATCCGAACTCGAACTGGTGATGTGCCCTGCACTGATGTCGCTGTCTCTGCCGGCTTAGTCAAGGGGATTCTATTGACGCGAAATTGAACTGTCGATGTAGTTGTAGGCTGCACTGTCTCCACTGGCTCGGGATTGGGCAGGCGCAATCTCTTGACCCGAATGCGAAATGGTGAAATATTTGAGTCTGCAAAAGTGTTATGGATTATCACATTTTAAGGAATTAGAGCGTACCAAAAAACTTACTTGTTAAATCCGCTGCCGTGGCGTTCATCTTTTGCCTTGTTTGTGTTTTGGCAACGCACATCGTGGAGTTGCGAGCTGGCTCAAAAACACTCGTGTCGCATGCTCCAGCGTCTGCCTCGGCTGGAGAGGCAAGCGATGGGATAGCAACTGGCTCCTTCCCCTTTTCTATTACGCCTTCGTCGAACTTAATGCGTTTTATTTTAATTACGCATCCTCGAATGCGAGGCATTGTAGTCGGCGTGGCGGCCATTGTGCCGGAGGTGACTCCTGCGTATTTTGCTTAAGTGCGACTTCAGCTTGTTCCTGCCATCGCATTGGCTGCCAAAATGTATGGATTATTCGACCTTATAACCATTTATTTACCGATTTTTTTTATTCTGTTTATTTTTTTGGTACAGCTGCCGCGAATAACTATTAGGAGTGGAGGAGAAACATCGATAAAAGCTTCGATGCATCCATGTTTTTAAATGTTTTATATATGGAGTTGATATTATATCGATAATTTTAATTTTTGATACGATAATATCGGTAGGATATTTATGCCAATGGGTTAATTCCCGCTTTAACTATTCGACTCGTTTGTCAACCCTGTCAGCCAGGGATGCGATGGCCATCGATAGACTTTAATGGTATTATCGATAGCTGCACCAGATGATTGAAATCCACACCAGCCCTCGCAATGTGACGATAAATAAAAAAAATAAATAATTAGCGAATTTCCAAATAATCCAAATTCCAAGTTCCTTGTACTGCGAACACCTGGCATCGAAGAAATATCGACAGTACAGTGTGTGCGTGGTGTGTTGTGCTGTTGTGTATGCCGAGAAAAGTCATATTTTGGCCCCACAAAATCGAGTGAAAGTTTTTTCATCTTTGTTTTGTAATTGTAAGTGTAATTCTCCCACCCACAATTACACTTGCCCCGCGCGCTACTGCCAATATTGAGTCAATATATTCACGTTATAACGGGCGCGTGCGAACAGCGCGCTGCATTGATCGCTGACAACAGTTTTCGTCAATTTGCCCACAAAGTTAATTCGAATTGCAGTGCAGATGCAGTCGATGTCTTGGATTGGATTGCATTGCTACATAAGGCCTTCCCTTCCCTTCCTTGCATAGGTTTGCGCCAGGTACTGATACGACACGAAAATGAATCCAATCAGAAACTAGCGCGGAAAACAGTGCACCCAGGCCCGCGCGCCTTTCCTTCTGTCAAATATACATACATACGTGCATACATGGATGTACGAGTACATACAAATAGCAACAAATAATTGTAAGCAACCCCAGGCCCCCTGAAGGCTATCTGTGACGACAGTAGGAAAGAAATCAAAACATCTCGGGCCAACAGAATGCATACGAATGAACATGTACATATAAATGTATCTGTATCCGCGAAATGTGTCTCAGGGTCAAGGACATACATTTCGTGGCGTTTGCATTGTTTGACCTTATTAAACAAGGGAAATTATTTAATTGGCTCTCCGTCCTCTCTATCCCGAAACTAGAACGATTGCCACAGAACGGGGACAAAGGCTTAGAACTAGGTGAGTGGCTAGGGGAGCTAGAGGAGCACGTACCAAGCACACAACTGTCCGGAGCAACAGCAACTGCTGCGTCGCTGTGGCTGTTTCCGCGGACAAAACAATGTGCGATACCAAAGACGAGGCACAAAAATGGAAATGTGAAATCTGCACCTACGAGAACTACCCTTCCTCCTTGAAATGCACCATGTGCCTGGCATCGAAGGCGCTGCTGAGCGAGGATATCTTTCGGTATGGCCTTGACACCACCCCTACCTTGAGCCATTTCTACCATTTACTCTCGTTTGTAGGCTCAGTCCAGCGCAGGAGAGCAGCTCTATTCCAGAGGAGACAGCCTCTGGGCTGGCTGCCGTCGAGCCAACACCAACACCGACGTCCACCTGCTACACACTGCATGCGCAGCCCTCGACACGGCAGAGCAATGTGGCCGACAGCGAGAAGTGGGAATGCAAGGTGTGCACCTATCTCAATTGGCCGCGTAGTGTGCGTTGCGTCCAGTGCTGCACGAACCGCGGCGGCGATGTCATTGAATGCAGCAATGATAATGACAATGAGGCGGATGCAGATTGCGTGGATCGAGCTGGAGAGGCATTGCATGCACTGCGCATCAGCGGCTCGGACACGGAACTCGTATCCACCATAGACACGGCTGCGAGACAACAACAGAAGCAGCATCAACAGTTAAGAGGAGCCACTGCCTCGAATCGCCTCAGTCTGAGTCCCAGTCCAACCATCGACGATGCCACGTATCTGAACAATCTCGCCAATGCATCACACAACCAGTCGCCGAATAAAAGGCCTGCCAATCAACAACAACAACAACAGCAGCAGCAGCGGGACTCTTCCTCTGTCACTGTTCCACTGCAGCCGAAGCATTGCTATATGGCCAAATGGGCGTGTAATGTGGGTTGGCCCTAAGCCTGTGTATATATTATATCCTACTTGTATGTAATAATTCTCTTGCAGTCGTGCACCTACGAGAACTGGCCCAGGAGCATCAAATGTTCTATGTGCGGCAAGACACGCGAGCGTGAGATCGGGGGGTCACAAAACGACTTGCATGCCTCCTCCAGCCAGACCATCCAGGAGGAACATCAGCAACAGCTGCAGCTGCAGCAGAACGTAGACACCGTCAGCGTCAATAACTCATTCAATAAAAAGCACATCTACCAACTGGGTAAGGCATACAATAACACACCCTGATATATTTATCCATTAATTAACTAAACGGGATGCCTTTGCAGGTTCCTCGGAAACCATCAACAACTGTGATACGCTACAAGAGCGGCAGGAACGGCGTCAGCGTCAAATCAGGCGACAGGTGGACTGGCAGTGGCTAAATGCCTGCTTGGGCGTCGTCGAGAATAACTACAGCGCTGTGGAAGCGTATCTTTCGTGTGGCGGCAATCCGGCTCGCTCACTGACCAGCAACGAGATAGCCGCATTGAATCGCAACTCTGCCTTTGATGTGGGTCACACGCTCATCCACCTGGCCATACGATTCCATCGCGAGGAAATGCTGCCCATGCTGCTGGCTCAGATCTCTGGTTCGGGGCCAGGAATAAAGCGTGTGCCCTCGTACGTGGCGCCGGATCTGGCTGCGGACATTCGCCGCCACTTTGCCAATACGCTTCGATTGCGCAAATCTGGCCTGCCCTGCCACTATGTGCAAAAGCATGCCACCTTTGCCCTTCCCGCCGAGATTGAGGAATTGCCCATTCCCATACAGGAGCAGCTGTACGATGAACTCCTGGATAGAGATGCCCAGAAGCAGTTGGAGACGCCGCCGCCAGCTCTCAACTGGTCGCTGGAGATAACGGCACGTCTCAGCTCACGTATGTTTGTTTTGTGGAACCGTAGTGCTGGCGATTGTCTCTTGGACTCGGCCATGCAGGCCACATGGGGAGTCTTCGATCGCGACAATATCCTCAGACGTACCCTGGCCGACACACTGCATCAGTGTGGACATGTGTAAGTGAAGCAAAAGTGAGTGCAGAAGCAGCATTTCGCTTACCATTGAGCGTGTGTGTTTTCAGGTTCTTCACGCGCTGGAAGGAGTACGAAATGTTGCAGGCCTCCATGCTGCACTTCACTCTGGAGGAATCACAGTGGGAGGATGATTGGAGCACACTGCTTTCGCTGGCCAGCCAACCAGGCTCATCTCTCGAGCAGTTGCACATTTTTGCGCTGGCGCACATCCTTAGACGTCCAATTATTGTTTATGGCGTTAAGTACGTAAAGAGCTTTCGTGGCGAAGACATTGGATATGCGCGTTTCGAAGGTGAGCAAACATCTAATATAAAATTTGTATATTTCTAATTCTAATTCGTTGCATGCCAGGTGTCTACTTGCCTTTGTTCTGGGATCAAAACTTCTGCACCAAATCGCCCATTGCCCTGGGCTATACCCGCGGTCACTTTAGCGCTTTGGTGCCCATGGAACCATTCACTCGCATCGATGGTCGACGCGACGATGTTGAGGATGTCACCTACCTGCCACTGATGGACTGCGAGCTCAAACTCTTGCCCATTCATTTTCTCACTCAGTCAGAGGTGAGACCTACATATAAAACATGCGATGACTCATAAACTGATTCATTAAAATCTCTTCGGCAGGTGGGTAATGAGGAGTCGATGATGCGCCAATGGCTGGATGTTTGCGTAACCGATGGCGGTCTGCTTGTGGCGCAACAAAAACTGGGCAAACGTCCCCTCCTGGTGGCACAAATGCTGGAGGAATGGCTGAATCATTACAGACGCATTGCGTAAGTATGGCTTGATTGATGGATGGCTAATGGCTAATCAATGCTGATTTGTGTCCGCCCCGTAGACAAGTGATAACTGCGCCGTTTGTTCGTCGCCCCCAAATAACACATTACTCGAGCGAGGGAGACTCGGATGAAGAATAGATATTGCACACCCCCATATTCATATATATATATATATATTTTACGTCTCTTACTTATACTTTTACCAAGTCGGTATCGTATCAGAGATGTAGTTCAAGATGAGTTTTGGAGTGCAGATCCTACACCCACTTGCAGTTGGAGTTAGCTAATGGAAACTATAGAAAATACGTACATATGCATACAGTTGAAATTTGTAGTTGTAACTAATTTGAAAGAAAAACTAAAGGTTAAGAATCAAAGTGCGAAGACACATTCATTGTCGGTAGGTACACATGCATATATCATATCCGTTCCCAATTCAACAAACGTTGATTTTAGTCAAATTTATTCACATTCATTGGGTCGACGGCGCGACGGCATCAGCGTACGATAAGACCATTATAGTAAACGAAATTGAAGCTATACACACACACACTGGTAGATGAAATTACACTTATACATTAACTGAAATGAAACAATCCATTGGGTGCAATCTAGGGCCGCTGCAGGGCCGACGGGGATGCAACTGAAAGTATAGAAGATGCAAATGTATGCAGTAAATAACATATATATATATATATATTGTACGATACCTACATAGATATGATGTGGATATATGTATCCCCCCTCATGCACTCTCGTATGTACATATGTGCGTATGTATGTATGTATGTTTCAACTTATTCGAAATCTCGATGTACTATTAAATTTTAACAAAGTGGGGTGAATATGAAGTTTATTGATAGTTTTTAAAACACTTGGAATTATTATGAATTAATTAATTCATTGATTAATTTAATTATTTGTTAGTAATGTTAACTAAGAACTTCTAAGAAAGCTTATTGTGCAAATGTACACGCAAAGCGCATGAAAAACAAAAACACATATTTAAATAAAAGTTTTAAGTAAAGATTCAAACGGAAACACACACAAAAACGAGCGGGAACGTTCTCTAGTTTCTTTCCAGTCCACTTTTCCATGGTACTCATTCGTCACAGCCGGATAGTCGGCCA